GAACGTATCAGAAATGTGTCCAAAAGTGTATGAAGTGTCAGGTAATGAAGTGCGCGCCCGCGCTTTTGGGCGGTCTCGGATTTCAGAGTGGTGTTGGTTCCGGTAGATGCGGCAACTTCGGCTTCCTGCATCGAGTGATAACAACGGAAATGACCAAACGCGCGGCCGCGTTTTTGGGCGGTCTCGGATTTCAGCGTGGTGTTGGTTTCGGTAGATGCCGCAACCTCCGCTTCCTCTGACGGGCAGAAACGTGACGAATGTTCAACTTCGTTGAAGAATTATCAGACAGTATCCGAAGGAGCTCAGATGGTGAAGCGCGCGGCCACGCTTATGGGCGGTTTCGTATTTGAGAGTGGTGTTGGTCACAGTGGATGCGGCGACCTCAGCGTCCTGCAGTGAGCTGATAAAAACAGAAATCCCCAAATGCGTCCAAAAAGTGTCCGAGGAGTATTCAGGAGCGTTCGAAAGCGCTCAGGGGTTAGAAGCGCATTTCTGAGCGGTCCCAGATTCAGCGTGGGTTTAGTTACGTTGGATGCCGCGACCTCGGCAGTAGGAGCAACGTTTTCGATCGCGTTCAAGAGGTGTTTGAGAGATATTGCAAAGCGTCGAAAGTGCTCGGCTTGGGCAATCTCACGTTTGAGCATGGTGCTGGTCACGGTAGATGCAGCGGACTTCGGCTTCCTGCAGCGTCTAGGAACAGAAGGAACGTCGATAGTGTTGCAGAGGTGTCTGGGAATACATTAAGAGTGTCTGAAAGACTAGGTTGCATGGAGGTGAGTTTTTTTGTTGTTTAGAGGACATGCAAATCTGACAAAAGAGGTCTCTTAGCCTTCATGAGAGAGAATGCTCGCTTATAGGGTCAAATGCGGTATTATTGGATTTCGCGGAGCGAAGGCTTTTCTCCAATTGGTTCAACAAAAACGGATCGAAAGACCAGGTTTCGAAGCTAGGTCACTTCTGTCAGATAAAAGCTTAACCCAACCCGGTCACAGATGGGATAGCAGCTGCATTGCCATGTCTACAGAACCAGACAAGAAAAGTTTCCGTATTTCACTCAGTCACTGGTTTTCTTCACCAAGTCCCGGTTGGGGACTTTAACCTGCCTTCTCAAACTTCAGCAGTGCCTCAGGCCAACCAACTTATCGCAGACCGAAGCTCTGGCTCTTTTAACCAAGAATTTCGAACCACCGAGGTTCCATTGCGGTTCTGACCTACAAGCTGAATCAACCTGTTGGATTAAGAATGTAACCCACCTTCTCAAGCTCCAGCAACGGCATCATAGCGCTCACGAACCCCTCCAACGACACCGTCTTCCCCGTGGCTTCAATTCCGGTCCCCGCTGATCTCATCCCTCTTCCGGCTGACGTCACACCCCTCCCTGCTGACGTCACCCCTCCTTTCGCCGACGCCCCCTTCTCTCCGCTCTTCTTCCCAGCACCACCCCCATCGAGAAACTTGTCCCGGACTGAAATCCTAAGAACGCGTTCAAGAACGTCAGCGATGTCGGCATCGTCGAACGAAGGCCCTGTTTCGGGGACGTCGAGGTGGTCGCCCTCTGCATTCTGCCAGAGCGCGAGTCTGCGCGTGTCTACCGTGGGGCCTGCGCTGGCGTGGTTCCACCCCGCCTCCTCTGCCACCTCTGCAAATGGAGACTCTCGGTTAAGGGGTTGAGTTAGGTGTTGGTTAGAGGTGTACTTCTTTTTTGAACATTAGCCCCCTGTAAAATCTGCTGGGGAGCTGAGTGCATTGTTGCACTCCTCAAGACAATTGGTCTCCCATACAACCACCTCTGTGGAAGGGATGGATCCGGCACTTTGTTGGCACTTGCCAGCTTCTCATGTCGGGAAGAGATTCGACGATCATGTTTTGATGGGTTGCCAGTTCAGTCACCATCTATTTGAGTCTGCTCATCAGAAGAGAAAGGCTGGTTGTGGTCACTGTAGGCCTATTCAGGGAGTCCGGCTTACCAACGATAGGAAGATTGCTTGGTACCACTCTCCGGACTACTTAGTCAAATGGATTAAAAAAGGAGAGAAGATACTTCAAACGAAGAAGTGACAGTGGTGTGGCAATGCAACATATACACCACTAACTCAAAGTTGCTTATTTTCTAAGAAGCATGGTTTGACTACTTGGTCACTGGTTGTTGATTCTACTACCCTTGTTTAGTGATGCCCGGATTACTCTCGGCTCCCCTATTTCTGGAAGTTTTTTGAGGCATCGCTGATAGAAGAAACAACTTTAGCACATTTGTGGTACCGAAATATGCACGTCCCATGGTGGTAACGGCATTAGCACCAGATCTTCAACAAATCATCAAGTAGCGAGGAGAAGATTTGTAAACAATCGTAGAGATCATCGCTTGAATTTGATCTCCGAAGCCTTAGCTTGATTGATACACTGATCAATATCGAATAAAGGATACTCTGGCACCTTTAGCGACTTCTTTCAGCAGACCATAGGGAACCAGAGTATCAAAGAACCACCAGTGCTAGGCAGTTGACCTGACCGGAATGCCGTAGTGGGTTCACTTTATTATGCATGGGTGGCACAGGTCACTTTGTAGAATCAAGCAAAAGAAATGACGTTCTCCAGAGCTTGTCGCTCACCATGGACAAGCGCCCTTTGCCTTGCGCTTAAAGTCGTTGGAAACACGATGCGCGTCACATTACACTCTGCGGCATTGCTTCCTCCCCCACCTCTAACCTTCTCAACTTTCCCTCCTCCAGACAGCCCCGCAGATGCACTTCCCTGTGCTGAGTCATGAGTCTCAGAGCTCACTCCGTCATTCTTTTCAGGTACTGAAAGCTCTTCGCCGGCAGGAGCGTCAGCATCTTTCTTGCCCCCTGGCACCCGTTTAGTGGCGGCTGCTATCCGCTTTTGAGCAGCCTTCTTCTTGGCAGCATCGGACGGCATTGCAACCAGAGAAACCAAAGTCAGAGGAGGCGAGTGCTCGAAACTAGAAAAAATAAGGTGAACCGCCTGCAGCACTTAGAGTTAGGCTGCCATGGAAGTTAGAAGACAAGCTGAGCAATGAGGCGTTTTACATGAGAGGTAGTTTGCCGACGGTAAGTGCCGACTTACCGCGCACTGTCGCGACTAAACTTGTACCGCCCCGACTTACCGTGGGCTCGTTGCGATCGGCCTTTTACATGGTCCGATGGTAAGTCGATGGTAAGTCCCGATCGAGGGCAAATCCGCACTCATTTCGGACTTACCACGACTTACCACGGTTTACCTCATCGATTTCGACGAGTTGAATTGGGGCCTACTTTACCGTCGGTAAAGTCGAGTTACCACGGTAAGTCGCTACCATGTAAAAGGCAAGTCGTGGTAAGTCCGAAATTCGACTTACCGTCGGGGCTTTACCCTCCATGTAAAACGCCTCAATGGAGCTGAAAGTTGAAGATTAAGATTTCTGATAGTCAAGTTGGCGCCATTTGCATGCGTCAAAGGTGGCACGCAGCCAATCGGCCGAGGGCCATCCTGGTCGTCCGTTTCATCGATCGACGGGCAGGGTGCGGCAGTTGGACGAAGGTTTCCAATCTCTGCTGGGCAATCAGGAAAGCGAGGTACGCCAGTACCTGCATGTAGCTTCACCGATACCTACTGTCAAGTAGTTCTGACTACAGTACATACCTGTAGGTATACTTGGGTACACTCAACCACATTGTTGTTTCACCTTCAGCTTGCCTTGGTGCTATGTAATGTGAGCACGACAACATGTCCCGGAAGATCGTCCACCAACATATGCAACACCGTCTGTACTGACCACCTGCACCAGGCCTGGAGCTTCATTGTCTTGTAAATCAGAAGGGCACAGGGATCCGCATGTGACTCTGGAGATCACCGCCCCGGTAACCAGGGTGCCTTTTGCATGCAGCTGCGCAGCTTTGCCTCTTCTTAAGAGAGCTCAGTGGCAAGCAAAAGGTGCTTCGCAAGGAAAGCATATACCTTGTAAACTCTGGCTTGTGACACATCTGCAAGCTGAAGGGCATCAGCTCGATGTTCAAAGGTCAAGACTGGTAGGCTAGACACCAATGAGGCGGAACGAGAAAGCTAAATCTCATGAAGGTCTTTCCAGTTATTTGACGCCTGAACGCTTTTACTTCAACGGTCAGCGGCGAGAGTAGGATATCAACTGGAGAACCAGCGTGAAGCAGACAAGCCTGAGACACCCTTGAACTTCTGAGTTGCAAAAAGCAGGGACTATGCTGTTACAGAAAAGCACCAATGCAATTGCAAGCCACAGCCTGCGGTGACCTCTAGCTGAGAGAATGCCACTCGAAGACGACCAGACAGCGGCGTCAGACTCAAAATATCACGGGACCAATGAGCTTGGGCTCAGCATTCCCTTGGGGCACAATGGAGCGACACCGGAGCAAACGAGCTGGTCTGTTGTTGCTCTGGGTCGGCATTCTGTTGAGCTGGGCTGCAGGCATGGCCGTAACAGCAGGTCAGCGCCGCCTCGATATGTTTCCGGGGTCTCAGCCGTGCATACTTCCTGCTTACGTCAAAGGCTTGCCCCTTTTCCTGTTCAATTTCCAAAAGCAAGCGCAAGTCTGCAGCTTTAGCACTATTTAAATCTGGATAAAAGAAGCTTCCGTCCATCTTGTGCCTTAGCGGTGACTGAAAATGCGTGTAAGAAGGCATACACAATGCAGCTTTGTGGCTGAAGCATGGTTGCAAGTGGATCAATATCATGGAGCGAGGAGCTCAGATAGAAGTCCACGCCCAAAGAGCTTGCTTGTCAATCACACAGCGCCACATGTAGCGGTCGTTCAAAGTCCATTCTGTTTCTCATACCCATTGCTCACAACTCGCCTTGCGGATGAGATTTCTGTGAGCTATGCATCCTTGCCCAGCATGGAAAGACAAATCACTGCCTTCTTTGTGCAAGCAGTGGTAGGAGGGGCAAAAAGCTGCTCAGATCTGAGACCGGAGGGCAGCGTCTGAGGCATAGCCCGAATAGTCCACGATAGTTAATGCAAACTTTGTCTGGACCAGCAGAAGCGCTTTGCTTGAGAAAGCGTTCTGTAAGAGCTGCAGTCCCTTGGTTAAATCAGGTCACTGTCCAGAAACAAGACCCAAATTTGTCGTTTATGTTTGGAAGGCCGCTGAACATGCTGACTCCGCTTTCAGAACTAGCTGTACTTTTCGAAAAAGAAAGTCATTACCCGCTTTCCTAGTACTCTCGTGGCATGACATCAGAAGCTTCTACTGTACCACACCCTTGACAGGGCCCAGCAGGCTCATCGATTCATTTATCCAACGTTTACCGCACAAAGTAATTCCCGTGCTGTGCCGTTCGTTGCTGACGCTCGCCGGTAACTCGACCGTTTCACACTTCACCACCCCATCCTAGATCCCGTCCACGAACTTCTCTCTCCACGTCACTTCCCGTTCAAACTGTGCGGCAACTCACTCATCCTCTTCCGTTTTACAGAACCCTCGCCGCAGACCCTTCCCTCCACGCCGCAAACCATTCCCTCTACGCCGCACTCCGCCCCCTGCATTCCGCTCCCCGCATCCTCCCGGCGCCTCCTCTCCGGCACTGGGCGAGTGCAAATGGTCCTCGTCACATACCCCCCCCGTTACACAAACACCTCCTCCGGTTGGTCGATCTCGTGGTACGCGATCGACGGCGCCGGAAACGACTGCCCCTCGTGCGCCGCATTCTGCACGCTGAACGGGGTCGACCAGCATTGTGACGTGTTAAAAGAGGCGCCGACGCAAGGGCCGAACGGGACTTACGTCAGCAGCAAGGCGCTGTCGCCCGCGTTAGAAGAGGGGCCGTACGTGCTTGATCTGTGGGGGCAGGAGCCGAACTGCGGGAACGCGTGCGTGAACGGAACGGTGGCCGAGGTGAGGCAATAGCTTATGAGTGACATCGGGTCGCATATCGGTTCGTATTTGAGCTTCTGGGGATTCTGGGGTGCTTATATGGTACTGGGATCGCGAATGAGTGCAATGCGAGGCAGGAGCCGAACTGCGGAGTGCGTGCGTGAACGGCACGGTGGCGGAGGTGAGGCGAGAGCTTTTGATAGCTTATTACTTAACTCCCTGGGTGTCTGGGACTCGAAAGCGTGGCCGGAGTTTGGGGGAGGATCCGAACCGAGGGAAAGCGTGCGTGAAAAGGATGTTGGCGGAGGTAAGTGGATAGCTTATGCGCTCCATCGGGTCGCGGATTGGTTCGGTATGTATGCTCCTTGGGTGCTGAGGTATTGTGGCAGCGAGTGACCGAACTGTTGGGCTGGACCCGGAATGCGAATAAATTGTGCGTCTGTGGCGCAGTGGCGGACGTGTGACAATCGCTCGTGCGCGACATGAGGCCTCGTGTTGTTTCGTTCATCTAGAGATTTCCAGGTACTTTAAGTACTGTGGCAGAAAATGACGGGACTGAGAATGACAATGTGGGGGAAAGCGGGCGTCATGGGACGGCAGCCGAAGTAAGCGAACAGCGTAGGCAACCTGCATGGAAAGTCTATGCGAAGTTCGTAGGGCTCGATTCTGCGGGGACCGCTCAACCGTTCTGCGTAGTCAGAACTCAGTGTGGAAGCCGAGATATCAGCTTACACCGAAGTTCGACATCGATAGCTCATGCAGTTTAGTAGGAGCTGTTGGGCATAAAACTTGTGGGGCCATGAGCGAATTGGAATTAATTGTGCACAAATGCGACGCTTGCAGAATGGGATTATTTTTCTAGAGCAGTCCGAGGGGCTCGAAGTTTTTGGTTTCATGGATCTGAGACTCAGACTGAAAGCACCAGACTTTGTAATCCACAGGTCCTTTCAAGTAAGATGTGAAAGGACACAACCCTTAAAATGGGTCTTACGGCTAGCATAAAATGAGTTCCGCGTTTCCTTGACCCGACATTTCTCAGTAAGCATGGCACCCCCAGAGTCTGACGTGTGGGACGGAAAACCCACTTTGATGAGTAGGTCTTTCGAAGAGCCATTGTCCGAGAGGAAGGAGTCACCCGCCGCTTTGCAATCCTTGTTATTGCTTTTGGTCTATCTGCAATTATATCGTCAACGTCGGCAGCAGGCTTTCCCATTCGCAACAACCGTCCCCCTTACTGTGATTCGTGGCCGAACAAAGGGGAGTTAGAAAGCATGTCGTGCGTCCCTTTTATTAGCAAAGCCAAGACACCGCCTGCCTACTGTTTCTGAACGGGCGAATCTTCCCTTCGTGAAGACTTTGGGTCCCCTGCTCGCGATCAAAACCTTAAATTTTCCTCAGTCACATCAGCAGCCGTCAAGTCCCGTCCACAGTGACGAACGAAATCTTTTTTACGCTTTGTCGCCTTTCCTGTTTCAGAATCCCCTTAGCCGTCACGGAGCATTTATCCGTCTCGAATCGACCAGTCTCGTTCGAAGCGTTCTCGACCGATCGAGAAAATCTCTTCTCAATCACAATGTCGGTGTGAAATTCCTTCTCACGAGATCTTGCTTACGTTTCCGCTTCCGTTTCGCAGGTCACGTGGCTCCTCCACACGGACGCCCCCAGTGTCACCTTCTCCGGCGGCCCCGCTAACCACTCCATAACCAGCCTCCAAACCGCGGTGATCTCCTTCAACAGCAGCGACCCCCTCCCGACTACTTTAGCCTGCGCGTTGGATTCCGCGCCTTTCGCTGACTGCACGGCAACGAAAACGAACTACACGGTTACCGGGTTAACCCCCGGGTTACACTCGTTTCACGCCCGAGCCACAGACGCGGCCTGGAACGTCGGCCCGATCGTATCCCTCTTCTGGACCGTCGATCTGAGCGCCCCAACGGTCACGATTCTCCAACAGCCGGCGACGCTGTCGAATTCTCCAATCGCGAGCTTCCGCTTCCAAGGCGCGATCGGGGGCATCGTCGCGCGCTGCGCGGCGTGCGCGTTCGCGTGCGCGCTCGACGGCGGCGCCGCGCAGCCGTGCGCGCAGTCGCCGGGCGCGGCCATCTTCCCCGCGCTCGCGCAAGGCGCGCACAACCTGTCGATCACCGTGACGGACCCCGACGGCAACTTGAAGACCGTTACCACCGCGTCGTGGCTCGTCCAGCTGACGGGCCCCACCGTTACCATCACCGGATCGCCCGCGGCGAGGACGACGTCCGACGCCGCGAGTTTCACGTTCACGGCGACGGACGATTATGACGTCAGCTGCGCACGTTGCACGTTCATGTGTCAGCTGGACTCGTTGCCGGTGCAAGCATGCACGCCGGCGCAAGGGGCGAAGTATCCGGGGCTTGGATCGCCGGGGAAGACGACGAGCCACGCATTTACAATCGTGCCGACGAACCAAGTAAGGGAGCGTTCTCCCCGCGTTCTCCTGAAAATCGCTTCGCACTTCAATGATGGGTCCCGCGAACGTTATGTTTATCATCTGTGTGGTATTGTCATGTGCCATAGAAATGAACTTTGCCGTTCAGAACGGAACGTTCTAGAAGTTTTGGGTTTTCGGGGCACTGAAGCTTAAAGATTTGAAAGGAATCGTATTCCTACCTTCACTATTACAGTTGCTCACAATTCGGATCAGCGTCGTACGACGATGTCCTCTCGGTTTGCAATCAACACGCTTACGCAAGAGTGTGCATGCAATACAAGCAGATTGCGCCGGACGGCTTGTTGAGAACCTTTCAAGAAACTTCGCGAAGAAGCATGTTGGTAAAAAGTAGGATTTTGGGATTAACCTTGAGAGATTATTGAGCCTAGGGACAGATGAGAAGATTTGAGCCGTTCTATTTCTTCCGACGGTGCTTCGCGCAATCCGCACTTCGGCTCCTCTAGGGACCGCAAGTTTTCAAAGACTGTGAAGCTTTTTCGCTTAAGACTTGACTCCGTTTCAAGAATCGTAGACCCGCGATATTGCTGGCGGGGCCCGGGAGCTTCGTAGACCTGCGTCTCCGTGGAGACCTACAAAAGCGGAACGAGAGCGGAACTAAATGAAGAGGGTTTTGGAAACGCACTTTCTCGAGCTTTGAAAAAGAAACACTGAGCCACATTTGAGGTTGAATTAGGAGGCGACTCATCGGATGGAATTGAGTCCCCGCCTGTTTTTCATATCGTTTCCCCTATTTCTTCCTGAGATGTGAGTCCTTATCCAAATCACCGGTGTCAAACCGGTCAAAGTTTTCTGATCGTACGATGTTGAACCTTCGAAGTTCTTTCCGCAGTCCGCCCTCTCAGAGCTACTTTTGAGATACGCCGTCTTTCCTTCCGCTCAACTGAACGCATCTCCTTTCCGTAGGCGGGAAACGTCGGCGCTGCTGTCACCTTCAACTGGACCGTCGACCTCGTTCCGCCCACGCTAACCATCCTAACCCAGCCCGCTAACCTGGTCAACACCACGCGCGCGTTCGTCGCGTTCGTCGCAAACGACAGCACGCCCACCTGCATTAATTGCGGGTACACGTGTCAGCTGGACGGCGGCCCGCTGGACGACTGCTTCACGGGCGGTTCCGTCGGCCAAGTGACGTATCTCGGAGTCTCAGACGGAGCCCATAAGTTGGTGATAACCGTGACTAACCCGGTCGGGTTAACGGCATTCAGCAGAGTGACCTGGACGGTCGATACGATCGATCCTGTGGCCACGATCGATCTGGGCGCTTCGCCGACGAACCGAAACCCGATGCCCTTGCGCATCACGTTTTCGAAACCCTGCGTCAACTTCGGCTTCCCGAACTGCGCTGGCGTCAGCAACGCGTCAGCGAACTCCACGTGCGGCGCGGGCCTCAACATCAGCTCGAGTCTCCTGGCGAAGATCGGTGTGACTAAGGCGACGATTGTGGCGAAGAGCGCGCAACTTCTGAGCGCGAGTTCGCTCGCGCTCAACCTCGCACCCTCGGCGAGCGGGATGTATGACGTCAGCCTGACGGTTGCGGCCGGCGCCTGCGCCGACGCGGCCGGCAACCTGAGCCCCGCGGCCGCGGGAAATGTGACATTCAATGACGTCAGGGGGATCCCCGTCCTGGCGACGGACATCCCGGGGACCATTAGCGTCTTTGGCAACACGACGTACGTGGTTCGGAGAACCAACGCGGGGTTGCTAAACTTTACGGTGGATTTCGGCAACCCGGTCACGGGGTTTGCGGCGAAGTCAATCGTTGTGGTTGGAGGATCAGCGGGGGAGGTGGGTTCATCTACTCTCGCTATCCTCCATACGCTGCGTTGCCTTTCCTTCAGTGGGCGGAACCTGCGGCTTTTATGCTTTCCTAACGGTCTTACCGCCAAACTGAGTTTAACCTTCAATCCGTTGCTAACTGCGACGATTGGTATGCTAAACTCCAAAACTTAATCCGGCCACAAAGGTTGCTGTTACGTAAATATCACACAGAAGTGAAACGTTCTGTCACGTAACAGACTGACGAAGTCTTCTTGGATGGCCTTGGAAGAGTCTCAATTTTGGGGAAAAACAAAACTGGAGCGGACTCTACATTTGACCGTTAACTTTCAAGATCAGCACAAGATCAAGCCCAACCAAAGCAATTTCGTCTTGCTGCAGCTCAAAGCTTTAGAAGACTCCTCGGGGACAACGTCCTCAGGGGCGGCCTATAGCTTCTCCGTGAAAGTCGCGGTCGACGGCTGGGTCCGCGTGGGGATTGCGGACAGCGCTGCAACGGACACCAACGGAAACCCCTCCTTGGCGTCCGAAACCTTGTCCATTCAGGTGCGCTCATTTTCCTTCTTCCCTTTCATCGTTTCTAGATATCTTGGTGTAGCAAAGCGAGTTTCGACAAAAGAAGAATAGCCACGAGACCCTTCGACGTTCTTGCGGAATCAGATTTAGCAAAGCCAGTTTTGAAAAAAGGAGGATAGCCAAGATCCCATTGAAACAAATTGAAACATAGATTGTGAGACATTTTTCCTGAACAAAATTGTCCTAGGCTACCGAGGCTCGAAATTTTAAGAATTCTTGGACAGAATTCCGCCCTAAAAGATGTGTTTACCAATTTCACCGAGCGAGCAAATATTATTAAGTGTCTGAGCGGTTGAAAGTACCGGTCTTGAAAACCGGCAAAAAATACGTTAGCCTTTTTTATTGATGAAGAGACTTTGAGCTCTTTTATGCTCCAAACGTGCTAGGACACCCGGACCTTCATCTCGGCAAATCCAATGTCAACACCGGCTCATATCTCTTCGATTCTTTCTTCATTTCTTGAACGATTTGCTCTTGCAAAAACAGCTTTAGAGAAACGAAGGATAGCCCAGAAACGGGTGTAAAGTATAGAGCAGGCTTCCCAGGTGAAATAGGAGTCGCGAAAAATCGAACAATTACATACGCGGGTGCCAATAATTGCGCGTTCCCGTGACTCACTTTGTCGTCATCATGAAAATGACGTTGAGTACACGGGTGGGTGCGTATAAAAAATTCCGAAGACCGCCAAACTCTTACATCCCTTTTCCAAACTCCCAGAAGTTCGCAGAGGAATGAAACAAGGCATTATCCGAAAGAAGAAGTCAATTTCATTTTCAAAGTCCCACCTTTGAAAAAAGATTTCACGAGGCAAGGTGCAAACGAGCAAAACTGTAATGCACGGAGCTCTCTGCGCGCGCACAGGTCGACCGGCAGCCCCCTGAGTTCACGCTGACGTCACTCTCCGGCTACAAAACCAAAGATTCTTTGATCGGGATCCTCATTACGCTTAGCGAAGTCTTGGACGATCCCGTCCTGGTTAAGCATCTGAACGTCAGCAACGCCAACGTGACGTCATTTGCCGGGGACGGCGGAACGTACGGGCTGCGGGTGGAGGCTTTTCCTGAGCAATCGGTTGGTGTGAATGTGCCCCCCGGGGTGGTTAGGGACCGGGCGGGAAACCTTAACCTCGGTTCCACCCTGCTAACCGTGCAGCACTGTAAGTGATCGTCAGACCCGTTTACCCTTCAAACCTTTGATGCTTCGACCCTTCAACCATTTGCTTGGGTACTGCCTCCGGGATGTCCATATCAAATGCGATATGATGCGTCTGTTCAAGCTTTCAAAACCATCTGGCCCAACTCTAAAATCGATCCAAGGCCAGTGGATGGTAACTGGGACGGGTGGGGTTAGAGAAGGGTTAGGGTGGGCAAGTTTGCAATGCTGGTAACCTTTGGTTGAGAATTTTAGGTATCCAAAAGCCTACTGTGCATGGGCTTGCAGGATTTGAACCCGACACTAACCTACCTTGCTGTTAAACGAGTTATTAAACGAGTGGATCCATTTTGTTCCATTCAGCTCATCTAACCGCAAAGGTCGTTTCTAACCACCTCCTGTCGTTTTTCCTGCGTTCTTTCCGTTCCGGTTTCCAACAGGGTCGCCCGCGCCGACATTTGCAGCTCCCCTTTCCTTAGCCTCTCGTCATTCCTTTCCCTTTCGTCTCCGTAGCCGCTTCTTTTCAATCTCTGACCGAACGTCCGATCCGTTCCGTTCCGTTCAGACGTGGTTCCGGCGGCAGTAACTGCCGCTGCTACCACGGCGGCCACCGCTGTCGTCGGCACCAGCGCCATTTCGACCGGGGCTTCCGTCGCCGGAGGCATGGGTACCGCCGGACTCGCAGTGAGCGGAAACCTCCTGGTGAGCGGTCGGAATGTTACTTTTCTTTGTTTGCTCGAATTTCTACTGCCTGGGCAATGATTCGCTCTTGAGTTAAGCTGTGGAGAAAGGATGTGCTTTTGCACAGTAATAGTGCCCTTAACTACGAGTGGAGAAAGAGGAGGATGGATGAGTTGTCTGGCTGAAGCCGAGGCAGGCTAGGAGGAGTCTATCAACAAGTGGATTATAGAAAAGTCTCTTTCAATCTGCTTCGAAATCGTTTACAGCAGTGATGTGTGCAGCTTGAAACATAGCTTTTGCTGGTCGATTTTCGTTTCTTGTCAATCTCGAGAATAATGTCGCTTTCCAGCACCCAATGGAAGCTACTAAGCGCTGTGTTTTTGAGGGATCCTTGAACAAGCTGTCGGCACTCTTTATCCGTTACCAGAGATAGAGAGATCTTTTTCCACCTTTTTAAAGTGGGCGTAGCAAGCGCGCTTGCAATGGTGATCGGACGGCTCAGATCGCCGCGATACAAGACAGCCAGTGCCGCCCTCGGTTTTGATTCGTCAAGAGGTTGACGCCGGTGATGCCGTCCGTCAAACCCCTACGCCCACTTTACGTAACACACTGCTCTTCTCCTTTGCCTCTTCAAGCTTGCTCACTGCTCTGTCTTCAGGGCCTATTCACACTTATGCACTGCTTCTTTTGCAGGGCCTATTCACAGTGATCCAGCGCTTCGCGATGGTGAATCACCTGGCGATCAAGCAGAGCGTCACGCTCACGGAGATGACCGGCAGATTCCAGTGGGCGGTACGTACCGTTTTCCCCGGGCTCTTATCAAAAACTTAAGTGGGCGAAACAAGTCTCGGCTGGCGCTGTTGTGGAAATCAGAGCCCGGAAGGGATCAAGAGGTTTGATGGGTCCCACTTGCACCATTCCCGGAGCTTGTCCCCGGCTGAGCTTCTACTGGTAGAGCGGGGTCAGGTAGAATCAGTAATTTTGGGACCGGGGCCGGGGACGCTGTTGGAAGGGCTGACGTAGCGGGATCTAAGGGCGAAACCCTGGGCTAGGCTGCTTTCGACCAATCATTGATCGTGAAGCCCCGGGTCAAAACCCTAAACCTCGCCACGTCAATCCTTCCGACAGCACCCCCGGCCCCGGTCGCCAAATTACTGACTCTCCTTGACCCCGCCCTGGTAGCAGAACGAATCTTAGGGTCTAACATAATGCTGGCCGAGCCCCCGGCACGCGGCTGATATGATAAGCTCCTGACGCTCGGCGCTTCGCTTTGGATTCTTGCATCGGATGTCCTCTTCCGTCGAGGAATCCCGATTTGCCTCCCGGATTCGACGAACGGAAGCCAGCTTTCAATTACGCGATCGCAAGACAACGAATAAAATGGTCATTGTACTTCAACGAGACTTCTTTTTCAGACGGATGTGGAGCGAGTGCCAACCCCCAAGTCTCGTTGATCCTTATACCGCTTACTCGGACTAATTTAGGAATAACAAGCGACAGGTATAATAAGCTTGGCAGCCTGGGACGGGTGGGGTTACTTTGGGGGTTAGGGTGAGTACGGGTGCGGAGCAGGTAGATTACTGGGTTAGGTTTTTAAGTGTTAGTTGGAGCTTATTATACGTGGCTCTTATTACACGTAAATTAGTCCGTCATCTTACCGCTTCCTTCTTGCTCGTTTTGTTGCCGCCTGCAATGTCACTTGCTCATCCACTCTCGCTGTGACACGTGTCAGAACATGGACGCAACACTGCCGTTCGGCCTGGGGATCGCTCCGCCAAGCTTCCAAACCCCGAACGCGACAGCTCCCGCGGCCGCGTCTGAGTCCGCGACCGAGGCTCCGGCCCGAAGGCGTCTGCTCGCGTCAGCGCCCGCGAACAATACTGACGTGGCAAATGCAGTCCAGCTGGAAGACGTACGTGGCAAGCATTGACTGGTGGATTCGTGTGCTTACCACGAGAATAACGGAGCTTCGACATACGTTTGTCGTTCTCGTTTTTGGACCTTCGCGCACTACGAAGTTTCACTTCCTCACTGCCAAGACTCGGCACTTGACCGTGTACTGGACTCTAAAATTCGACGAATTTGCAAACAGCAACGCACCTGCTTGGTCGCTCCGCATGTGATGAACGTACTCTACCATGCGGCGACCATGAGGCGTTCTTCGAGGGCGCCGGGAGACCGCGTAGGGGCACCATTTTTAAAATTAAACGAGCCAATTGCTGCTAGAGTAGCGCCGCAACAATCGGAACGGACGCTACCCGTATCGTTTTGTGGATTCCAGTGATTCCGAAATCATCTACGATTTAAAGTCGCCCATCTGCGCGCATTTTCAAAAATCAATGCAGGGCAAGGCACTTGAGGAATCTGTTTCTCCAAAACGCATGCTGACTCTCTTTCCGTTGGCGTTCCGCTCCAGGCAACCCGGCAGTCGGCGGCGCAGCAGCTCGTCAGCTCTGTCATTGGAAAGGTGGATCAAGGGTGAGAATACGCCCCTCGAGGGTCATTCGCATTCCTTGTGCTCTCTCAAGCAGTGTACTTTTATCCTTCAGTTCTCACATGGGTGTGGATGTTTTTTCCAACCATGCAGTCGCGCCTCTCAGCCCTAGGTTACGTTCTCAAAGGCTCTACACATGATTTTCGTCTGCCTCTGGCAAACTCAATCAACCCGGAACCCTCTTATGTTAAGCCCCTAACCCGTAGGTGATCTACGTTTGACCGTGTCATTGGTCGCTCCTCATATTTATCTTCTCGACCGCGCTACACTTTATCGCCGCTGTCTCTAATGAATATAAATCACCTAAAACTCAAGAAAGACAATAGTAAACCAAGATGATAGTAAGCTCCGACTAACACTGAAAACCCTAACCCAAAAAGACACCCGCTCCGCACCCCTACCCACCCTAATTAACCACCAAACTAGCCCTACCCGTCCCAGTACGGTTACCTTATTATTATCTCGGCTTACTACTATTTTTCCTGAGTTTGATGTAAATAAACCCGTCGGACCTGGGAGCGCCAAATCCAATCATCCTTGAAACCCTAACCCGCCGGTGGTCCACGTTCGACCGCGTTATCGGCTGGTCCCTCCTCTTACTCTTCGACTCGACGGCGCTGCAAATGATTCTCGTCCGACTCTAGCGCATGTGGAAGGAGCATCTAAAGAATTTTAATCCTTTGCATCAACCTCATAAAGCCGTTCAGACCCTGAACGCTAAAGTTTAAACACCGCAAGTGGTCCACTTTCGACCAGGTTATTGGCTGGTCGCCTCTCCCCGTCTTCGGCTCGACGGCGCGTACAAGAATAGTCTTCCAGCTCTATTAAATGGATCTCAAGATCTAAAGCTTCCGTTCAAATTCCTCAAACTCCAGCAAGCAAACTTTAACCCGCAGCTGGTCTACTTTCGACCGCGTTATCGGCTGGTCTCTCCTCCCCTTTTTCGGCTCGACGGCGCTGCACATGATCGCCTTCCGTGTCTAATGAATGCGAACAAAGCATCGTAAGGGGCTACACCCCTGCATTAAATTCTTTACAATTCTGAAACCTAACTTTCTTACTCCTTATCTCCGCAGGTGGTCAACTTTCGACCGCGTTATCGGCTGGTCCCTCCTCTTAGTCTTCGGCTCGACGGCGCTGCACATGATCGTCGTCCGGCTCTGGCGCATGTGGACGGAGCAGACCATTCCGGACATTCTCATGTTCCCGCGCTGTGAAATCATGGTCATCATGCTGACGGTCGAAGGGCTCGCGCAAGCGTGCGGGCTTATCATTGCGGGTGAGTGACGTCAAGATGACGTCTTTCGTGAGCGATGGAGTGGATTCGCTTGTTAGAGTGGTGCGAAATCATGGCGATCATGAGGGGCCGTCTTAACTGCGCCTTCCGAAACTGGAATAGATCATGAGTGGACATGTCTGAGAAAACATTGAGAATGGAGTCGAAGACTCAGGGGGATGAAAGGAAAAATCCGACGAGGACAGAGATTTCAACACCGGTCGAGACCTTCTCATTGTCAAAGATTGTTTGCAGCGGAAGATTCGGGCTCGGTTGAATCGCGACTTTGCCGCTGAAGTCGCCCTGCTTATCTCCGGCTGGAGATTCCGCAAGAGACCAGACTTACCTAATTACCGTTTAACGACTTAACGATCCCCTGTGGTTACAGGAGGTACTGCGCGGGGGCGCCTGGTGGGCACCATCATATTCATCTGCGTACCGGGATCCATCATCGCCTTCTTCTTCTACATCGTCGTCTACAAGATCTACAAGGTGAGCGCGGCCGCGGCCGCGGCCGCTGCGCGACGGCGTGGGGTTTGCCTTATATGTTATTCGGGGTTAGAATCAGTAGAGGAATGGAGACCCTTAGCTCCATCAATCTTCTTGTATATAGTGGTTTAAAAGATGTACAAGGTGAGGGAGGCCGCGGGGCGTGGAGTCTTCACGGTTTCACGGTTTTGAACTGTTAGGGTTTTATAACGAGCGGAACAAGGCACATCATGGGTCCATCCTCGCCTTCTTTTAAGTAAGAGAGTTCATAAGGTGAAGGCGCTCGCGGCCAAACGTTTTAGCGTTTTTGGATTGAGGATCCTTGACGAACACTAAAGATATTTTGGAGGCTTTGCCTGCTCGCCCTTGAACTCCAAGCGCTGCCAATCTGCGCAAGCTTTCCTCCTGACATTTTCAAAAGTTGACAACGCATTGGAGGTGAGTTTGGTCTTCGCTTACCGCATGGAATGGCACGCCTGGGGCGTAGTAAGATTGAAACAAGATCGTGGGCAGCGATGAGTCAAACCTAGGATGTTTAAGCTTTACAATACTCCCAACAATCGCGGAAGGTAGCCATTTGGAGCTGGAATTCGAACTCACAAGCGAACATTTAAATGCTTGCGTTGCTTAAGATCCTTCGAGAAAATAGTCTCGAATCCTTTGCCGTTCATAGGGGCTCTGCCCGGGATCTGAATAGGCTTAGCTTAGCGGCCGATAGTGACTTGGTTTGACATAACCTATCCAGTGTTGACCGTCTTGTCACTAACTCGTCGCAGTCACAAGCCGCTACCTTCGTCGCCGTTTCCGACCCCGCCGCCGAGCCGAACCCCCAAACCCTCGCGGGCAAGAAGGGCGCGCGGCGCTTGAGCGCGAGCGCGGTCGCGGGCATGGGGCCCGCGGCCGCGAAGCGCGGCGCGCTCCTGGGCCGCGTCGCGGCCGCGACGCCTTTTGGAAACGCCGCAAAACCCGTGGAGGGAAAGTGGGAGGACAGCAAGGACAAGCATTTCGTGGCGCGATACGGGGTGTTCTTCCAAAACTTTCGGGGGTTTAACCCGCCGCCAGGTGCGCATTAACCCATAACGTTTACGGTTTGACGAATTACCCGCTCGCCAGGTGCGCACTAGTCCATTGATCGTACACGGGTGGGCGGGTTTAACCCGCCGCCAGGTGCGCACTAGAGTAACACAGCAATATTTTGTCTTGGCCAAAACCTGCCGCCCGGTGCGGGAGAGGCGAAGAACTCTCACCGTTTCGTGTGTTAAAAACTGAAAGACCTTGGGTTTTACAGCATCCATTGTCTGGCCGAATACACGTAGATGAAATCTTCTTTGGTGAAACGTACCTGGAAGCGTTCACAATGATAGTGATGACGTCAGAGAGCTCTTCCAATGATCTGTAGATGCAAGAATTAAGCTCACATACTCTTTTGACGCGGGGGCGGCTTGAAAGCTGGTTCACAGGAGTGGGTTCTGCTTTTCCTCATGTCAAGGGAGGTTTTTCTGCCCCTGTCGTTTTGCTAGCATAGCTGCCTCAAACCCCACGAGAACTAACAGACCTACACGAGAAAAATAAATGTCACAAGTATCTCAACCTGTTGAGTTCTTGTCACCTTCCGATTCGAAACCCGCAAAAAAGTGCACATAGCCAAGCATAACCCCATCCGGCAAATTATATCCTCAAAGCGCACAACTTTTCTTCACACGTGCAGTAACGGACGAAAAGAAGCCCTACAACGCGCGCGGAAAAGCACGCGAAGAAGCGTGACGAACCGCTGAAAAGTGCACACAACCCAGCATAATTCCTTCCGGCTGATCTTTTCCTCAAAGCGCACAACTTTTCTTTCACACGTGCAGTACCGGACGAAAAGAAGTCCTACAACACGCGCGGAAAGCACGCGAAAAGGCGTGACGAACCGCTGAAAACTGCACACAGCCCAGCATAATTCCTTCCGGCTGATCTTTTTCTCAGACGGCACGATTTTCTCTACACGCGCAGAGGCGGACGAAAAGAAGCCCCACAACGGGCGCGGCAAGCACGCGAAGAAGCGCGCGCGCACGTGGGGCGAGTACTTCTTTCTCCACGGCTTGGGAGCGGACAAGTTCCGGTCGTGCTACTTTTCCGTGTACCTCGTCAAGAAGATGTTGTACGGACTACTGTTCGGATTGTACGGAGGAAAAGAAAGCTGGACCCAGGTAGGGTTTTGTGGGCGCAACCTGTTTTCCCAACCTGCTCACATTCAACACGCATTGTTTTTCTAAGCTGTCAAATTCGGTCTCAAGTTCAGATGCTTCTTCTTGTCTCAATTAATACACTTCTCGGTTTATCTCGTCAAGAAGATGTTGTATGACCTACTGTTCGGGTTGTACGGAGGAAAGGAAAGCTGGACACGGGTAAATTTGCGCCCAGGTTGAAGTATTTTCTGAGCCTTCAACTTCGATCCGAATTCGAGATACTTCTTTCCTTCTTAATGAAAATGTGCTACCTTCGGTGTATCTCGTCAAGGAGATGTTGTAAGGGCTACTGTTTGGATTGTACGGAGGAAAGGAAAGCGGGATCGCAGGTGAGTTTGCGCCCAGGTTGAAGTATTTTCTGAGCTTTCAACTTCGATCCCGTTCGAGATACTGCTTTCCTTCTCAATGAAAATGTGCTACCTTCGGTGTACCTCGTTAAAAAGATGTTGTAAGGGCTACTTTTTGGACCGTACGGAGGGAAGGAAAGCTGGACTCAGGTAGGAAATGAACTTTCGAACCGAAAACTTGCTGCTCAGTTTCAGCTTGTCTGTTCTCTCGAGCTACTCCTTTAAAATTCAAAGAAGATTGTACTACTCCTTTAAAAGTAAAAGAAGACTGTGCGACATCTCTCTTTATTGGTCAAACGGCTGCTGGTCAAGACCCTCTTTGGAGGTGTAACGAGGTGACAAAGAGCTGGACTTCGGTGGGGAGACTCAACTTACTGCACAACCTTCTTTCATCACCCTTCGTCCCCGGCGGAAGACATGACGTTTCCCATCCGGCAGACTAGGCGTTGGTACTCGTGTTGACAGGCCATTGACCTCTGATTTCATTCGAAACCCTAAACCCTCTTTTCGAAACGATGCCCGCTATTTTCTCGCTCCTCCTTTCATTTACTTTACGTAGTGGTTTGGTGATCTTTAACCCATCCTAGACGCGAGCCCTGGTGCACGCAAGATCTCGGAATCAAACCCCAAGACCGGAAAACGCAAACCTTATTCATGGTTTTTCAAGACCGGTTAAAACCTTTATCAGGACTAGAGTCTCCTCGATTCCAATTTGACCTGAATCCCTTCGAGGCCAAACCTCATATTGTCCATTCTTTTTTTCGCAGGTGGTCATCTTGTTCGTTTACTCCTTCTTTCAGCTCTCCTACCTCATGTTCCTGCAAACGTTCTGTTTTTATCTATTACCCAGATCATTCATCACCCAATACCCACACAAGATCAATCGGGCCAAAGCTTATCTGCCAAGCCCTCTTTCTCAGGCGGTTCTTCTTTGCTCCTCCTTCCTTCCTCCTTCGATCATTCGTACCTGATTGGAACGAAACCTTTATTAAATCTTCCAACCAAGAAATGAAGCATTCAAGATATGGTCCAAAATAAAAGCAAAAATGCCCTCAAGACCAACATGCTAAGACCGCAAACTCTTCTCTCGCAGGTGGTTATCCTGTTCGTTTATTCTCTTTCCAGCTCTCCTGCATCATGTTCGTCCGCCACGTTTGAGTATTCAACAAAGGCTTCACAACGTAATTTGAAACAAGGGATCAGAACATAAAAAGCTAAATCCTTTTCTCGCAGGTGGTTATCCTGTTCGTTTATTCTCTCTTCCAGCTCTCATACCTCATGTTCTTCAAGCCGTACCTCGACCGGAGCATCCAGGCCATTGAGGAGATCGTGCTCATCTGCGAGACCGTCAGCTTTTTGCTCGCCATCCTAGTTCTCTGGCGCACCGCGAGCGGCTGGGCGCAGGCGCGCCTCAGCGACAGCGCCATCCAGTCGCTGCTCCTCTCCGCGCAGCTGCTGTCCGTTCTGGTGCAGCTCGTGCACCAGTGGTACAAGTGAGCGGAACGGAACTTTGAAAAAGGGAACGGAACGCAGATTCTGCGTTTGTTGTTCTGAGGTTTTACTTCGTCGTTTGTAGTCCTGCTCTCGCGCGCAGCTGCTGTCCGTTCTGGTGCAGCTCGTGCACCAGTGGTACAAGTGAGCGGAACGGAACGACCGGAACGGACGAGGCGTTTGGCACTTTCTTGTTCTATACGCTCTTGTTGTCTTGTTTCTCATGACATGTGATGTTCGGCTCCACGTAGCTGCTGCCCGTTCCGGCGCAGCTCGTGCAACATGTTCAAATCGAGCGGAACGGAACGGAATGAAGCTTTGGTACCTTGTTGTTTTAGAACTCTCTGCTGCTCCTTTCCGCGCCGCTACTGTCCGTTATGGTGCAGCTCGTGCGCATATGAGCAGAACAAAATGGAACGGACGGAACGGAGCTCCAACAGAATCCTGTCTAAAGGGTCTTCTCCTGTTGTTTGCTGCTCCTCTTTGCGCAGCTGCTGACCATTTAAATGCTGCTCGTGCACCACCGGTGCAACCGAGCGGAACGGAACGAAGTATAGAGGGATTCAATGGTTCTTGCTTGTTCATTTCGAGCTTCACGACCCCTGCGAGTTGCTCTGTGTTCCGGTTCCGCTTTTGCACCAGCGGTACAATCGACCGGAGCGGAATGAAGGACAGAGTTTCATTGTTAGAAGCGACTGATCGTGGCTAAAATCGATGCGCTACAATTCTCAGAGCTGCTCTCTATCGATACCAATCCTCGCTGTGTGGATTTTGGTGGACTTGTGGGCTTGTAATGACGACCCTCCCGTCGGGATCTCTTTCTTTTTCTCTCTCTCATCTTAGCAAAGGTGTCACTACCTCTTCCCACTTCATTGCATTAGCAAGCCACGCCGAAGTTTGGGCCGGACGATTTGGGTATGAGATTTCTGTGAATGAACGTTCGGAAACCTGTCAACGCATCAAAGCTCAAAAGCCTATGAATGACCTTCTATGCTCTTTCCTATGCAGTATCGCAAAAGCGATCTACACACAGCGTGCGATCTTGATGAAGAAATTGCGCGGACTGTTTGGAAGAAAGGCGGACGCCGCAGACTCGGAGGAGCGGCGGACATCGAGGAGCCTCCACCGGAAAGGGAGCCGGAAGAGCGGAAGTCGGAAGGGGAGCACGCGCGCGGAAGAGGTTTCGGACGAGCTAGAGGAGCGGACTCCGTCCGACACTGAAGCGGAGGATTCCGCCGGAAGAGACCTGCTGCCGGAGGCCGAAATGGACGGAGGGGAATACGGCGAAAGTGAGCTGCCGCAAGCGAGGAACAGCGTCGAATCGCACAGGTCGGCGCGGCAGGCTCCGGCGCTTCGACGCCGGAGCAGCGGAACCTACGACGCGGAAACGGAAGGGCTGCGGCCGGCCGGGCGGTCGGTGAGCTGGACGGATGCGCGTGCGCGCGCCGCGGGCGCGCCGCGGCGCAAGACGCGCGTGTCGTCGCTCGGAGAACAACAGGGGTATTCCGGTGGAGCTCCGCCGGAAAGGGACTTCGAAGGTGATGAAAGGAGCTATGAAGAGGAACAGATGATCATCCAGAATCGGGAGGCGCACTCGAAGTCGGACCAGAGGTATGACAGGTCGCCGGAATCACTCCGGGGCTCAAAGCTTTCAAACCAAGCATCTTTAACAAGGAGCGATCCTGGAGCATTGCACCGCGGCAACGCAAGACGGTACCAGACCAGCTACGAAGGCCGTGCGGGGATGCACTCTCGCAGCCCGTCGAACGGAGCTCCGTCTTTAATAGAGAAAGCCCCCCATTTGGTCTCGCTGGTCGAGGGGTCCCCCCGGGGAAGCCCGTTGGTTGGGGGATCCCCCCGGGAAGATCACGAACGGATAGCTCACCGAGGCAGCCCAAGACGGTACCAGACGACCTACGAAGAGAGCGATTCATCCTCGCGGGGCAGTCATAGAGTAGGAGCACCCCGGATGGTGTCGCTTGTCGAGGGATCCCTCCAACATCATGAGCGGATTCCGGAGAGGAGTGAGCCCGGCGGAAGTCACAGGGGCAGCCCGAGACGGTACCAGTCCAACTTTGAGGGCCGTGCGGGGGTACGTCCTTCGAAAGGATCTCCGGGCAGTACAAGAGAAAAAGCGCCCCGGTTGGTGTCGCTTCTCGAGGGATCCCCCCGGGGGAGCCCGTTGGCCGGGGGATCCCCCCGAGAGGGTCAAAGGCGGACGCGGAAGCTTAGCACACAGTCGGCCGACCTTAGTGCACACAGACCCCCGCGCCGCGAGCGGACCATAAGCAACGTCAGCAACATGTCATCCCCGGGGGCGTTCGGCCGGGCGGATCCGCCGGAACGGCCACACGCGCGCCGAATGGCGGTCAGCGGATCGCGGCTGAACACGGAGTCCGGCGAGTTTTTCGACGGCGATGGGCGGAGGGCCGGCGGAATCCGCGTCGCTCCGGTCGTGAAAGCGAGCCTCCAGAGCTTGAAGAAGAAGGCGGCGGAAGGGCGGACGTTTTCGCGCTCGCGCTCGCGCGCGGACGTCGAGGAGCCCGTGTACGAATGGGGCACGGACGAGGAGGATGCGGAGCTGGACCGTCCGGCTTTCATGAAGCCGCAATACTACGTCTAGGGCCACGTGGCGAGCTACGATTGGACCTGATCATGCACTTCCAACAGTTGTACAGTACAGCGAGCAAGATGACATTGGCTCTAGAGTCGCCGCGTACCTCGCGCCGTCGCGGTAAACCTTTTGTGCTAATGGCGATGCACGTGTCTAGCGTTGCACGCACGGCGATTGTAGCGCGTATACGTTCAAATCTAGAGCCTCGCAGGATTGGCTTCCCTTGGAAAGGATACAGAAGATCATGTCGGAGGATGAGGTCTTTGAATTAGAAGTCTAGCTCGAAAGGAACCTGGCACCGCTAGATTAAAGCATGCCACACTTGTTGCACACTGACTGAGCGCACCAAAGAAATCACTCAAATGTCCAAATCAGTCAGAGGCTGAGCTCGGCCGCACGGCCCTCTGCATGCAGAAATTGTGCAACGTGTATACAGTGAATTCTGTTGACGGTTGTCACTTCAGCCTAACTTAAGCTGTACTCCAAACTGGATATGTCTACGGGGGCCGCCGCTTGATTGCATGCCACGCGGGCCGCCCGCTCGTTATCTTGTTTTGTAAGTTCAATCTCCGTCACTGAGCCTGCTTTTAAAGCTGCAGCAATTTAGCACAACCAAGGGCCGGGGCCCATTAGCAGGTGACGCGCCGTGGCGTTCATGCTGTTAATTTGTGTTCATTGCAGCTTCGTGCTCCAGCACTCAGTGCAGGCAACTCATACACCAGCTTGAGGCAAACCTTTTTGACCCGTACTAATGGGGATTATAAGTTGAAATGCAATCCGGAGCTTTGAAAATGATTGATGGGGTCACTCGCGTGTTAATTTAAGCGTCCTGATCGAAATTCAACTCATATCGAATGTACACAAATCCTTTCAGCCAATTAGTATAAGATATAAGCGTTTTCAAGGTCAATTGCTAGTCTGGCAACGCAATAGAATGAGGCGCAACCAAAACGCGAGCACAAATTTACAACCCAAATCAACCTCCAGCAAACTTAGTCTAGCTAGCTTTAGAACTTACTAGAAACGCTATAGGCTGTACAGGAGATAACAATTGGTGCTTCTCTCAAATTCAAGTGTAGTCAACATAATCAAATATAGTCGGTTGCGTGCGGTAGCGTCGCCTATGCTTAACTCTCCTGAGCAACTAGCTCCTCCAGCTTTTCCCGTCTGTCGGCTTCGCTTTCGAAGTGGTAACGCCGGCCGTGCCCTGAAACACAATAGCAAAGTGGGCGATGTCAGTAGCAGTTTACCATCGCCTATCATTCATAATAGATAGCAATAAGTAGGGTAAAAAGATATTACCGGCTATCAGATGTCGTTTCAGCCAAATTTCAAACGAACACAGCTCAGGGTCAGTCGGACATCAATCCAGCTAACAATGAATTAGCGCAGGAGCATGACGTGACCGGCATTGAAATGCTGCTAAGACAAGGGGTGTTTATTGAATGTTGGCATCTCTGTTTCAAGTAGTCAAGGCATGATTTCTGCGGGTTCGTTAGCCCTTTTTCCAGATCGAAGGTGTGAAGCCCTTTGCTCTTTTCGAAAGAACGAACGAAACGAAGCAAATCGAAACGACACAAACAAAAGAAAACTACGCCACTGAGCAGTGCCCTTCGACAAGCTGCTTCAGCATATGCGAGCGATGCCAAAGGAGCGAAGCGTTTCCAGGGGGTCTGGCGTTCAAAGCGCTAAATGCCCGTACTCAAAAACCAAGGCTTCGAATGAAATTTATGCCTGGATTCACAAGGCCGGAACCGCCACTTGTTTGTTTGACATATCCGAGTTTGCGTCAAAGTTGTCCACTGTCGGCTATCCCAAAGTACAGGCGCGGAACGGAACCCGGTTCGGTTTCGATGAACAAAACTGGTCGTTTGAGACCCCTGGGCACTTTTGCCACAAACGGTGGACCATATCAGCGTCCTCGGTTTGTCCGGACCAGATTCGTGAATCAAGACTTTTTGAGATTCGAGTGTCACGCCATTTTCTGAACCTCCCAGCGCGAACAGGTTAAATGCAAACTCCAGTATAACCCAACTCCAGTTAACGTACGCGGGACTTACCAGGGAGAAGCCAAAGGAAATCGAGTGGGATCAGTTTGCGGACGCTGTCAATTTGCTTGGACACTGCGGACAAGAGACGGGGATTTTTTTTTTGGAGCGGTTCGTAGGAGGAAACCAACACTCATTTGAAACAGGAGCCTTCCTTTTTACGAGTCAAAAGACCAGCAAAACGAAAAAAAAAGAATGACACGGGTCCGATCTGCCAGGCGGAACGGAAAAGCTTTTCAACGGATGCCTAGGACCGGATAACGGATTGAACCAACGCAAACAAGGCCGCCGTGCGAACTCAGCTTACATAATTCCCAATCCACAATCCGATACACGCATTCGGGGGTGTCGACGCAAATTCGATTGTGTGGACTGCCAATAAGGCCGCAGAAGGTGCTCGGTGTGCATCATAATGGACCAGAGTCTCCCTCTACGGCCCGAAGGATACTCCACAAAGCCTCAGTGTGAATACTCCCTCACCTGAGTACCAGTTTACACCGCGGAAGATAGACAGCCCTTCTTGCCGCCGGGAGTAGGCCAAATGGTCCCCTGTGAAGAGGGCCTTGTGCGGCTTGTAGAAGAGAGACACGCAGCCCTGTATAGAGGGGTTCAACAAAAGGAGACTCAGAAACATGGGCTCTTTGGAGCCCGCCTGCTTAAGCTTTGCCAGTGTTGTGTTTGTTTGGTATCCGTTTGGCGAAATTCTTGTTTTGTTTGCCTTTGCAATGGCGCAGTCAGTAGTAAGGAAAAGTTTTTCCTTACTGCTGACTGCATGAAAGGGACAACTGCAATATGAAAGGGACAACTGCAATAATGCCTGGCTCAGTGGCACAGTCGCTTTGAGAAGTACGTGAACCGGTAAGGGTTCGATCCTTCCGGACTGATAGTTTCTATGCTTCTGGTCAAGCATTCCGCTCATCTTTGGGTATGACTAATCAGGCCACACGCAGCGCATCAGAAGGAGTCTGTAGACTGGCAAACCCCGTTAAACCCGAAAGCATTCCCTCCTGATTTGATATTAACGGATAAAGACTTGTTCTTAAGCAGGTTTTGCAAATGCAGCGAGACGGACTACCTTGACAGGTAACACGTATATTATCCTAATCGACACCGCATAAGTACTGTGAACTCTCAAACATGGCTACAGTGGCACGCATGATAAAAAGCATGAATACGACCAGAAATGCGCAGGAGTTAGCTCACCGCGGTGTGCCCAGGGGTGTGAATAAGCTCCACCTCCTCGTCGAGCGTCCACGGGCCGCTGCCCTCTAGCTTCCGCTCAACGTCTCGCGTGCTCGACCGCACCTGTAAACCACAACTAGAGTCAGTTTCCCTCGTCTTCGACATTGAACCTTTTTGGAAAAAGTTAAACGAAGTGGACAAATGGAGTTTATTTGGTGTCTTCCACATTGACCCGGGAGAACATCACGAGACAGTACCTGGCACACGCAGAAAGAGCATGTTTTCTAGTTCCCTTGCGGATGTTGTTAGGGGGCTGCCGATAAGTCGCCACGAGCAATGTCTGTGCCACAAGAGGTGAGCGCGTTCCGGCCGTCCATTTCGGAGGAGTTGAAAGAGCCCAGAAGCTTGAAAAACTTTGCTTCGCATTCAATCTCTTATTCCACTCAGTCGAACCGAGGAGCAACGGATTCGAGAAAACAAGACCTACTTTGTTTCCTAACCTCACTGGCAAATGTGTGACTTTTTTGGAAACGAAAGATTGACAGTCAGGAGTCAAGCTTTGTTGCAACCAAGCAAGAGTTTTTTGTTGTCATCTGGTCGCGAATACTGCCAACACACCCAACGCCCGACGCCCAATTGTTAGTCGCTCTTAAAACGTACACATTCTGTCGGACTCTGCAAGCCTGACTTTTTGCAGATGCCTCGAGGGTTGAGAGGACCAAGATGAACTGGCTGATCTCATTCCCAGAAGTCGCTCCTACCTGAAGCGCACTATCAACTTCGGCAACTCTCAATCTTCGACGGTGAAAATGAGTGTGTCACTCCTGACGGCTTTCTACCAAACACTGCAGAACCCGGTACCAGAAGAAAGGTGCTTACGTCATCTTCGTGTATGATGCGCTCACACCCGAAGCGCGCCGCCCACTTGGCGTGATCTGCCACGTCGTCCTGGTGCGTCAGGAACATGTACCGCACGCCGCCCATCTGTTCGATCCGCTTCGCGAGGACTTCGGTAAAGCGGGGGCTGCGGCAAGAAGACTCATGACGTCAGCTCATGACGTCAGCTGGCATCGAAGACGGCCTAACGCGTTCAGAAAAGCAGGAAGGAGTACTGCCCGCTGCCAAACTTTGAAGTTATTTGTGGACGTTCAATCGATGCGGGGCTGCAAATACGGTCAACAACCGCCATCATGCTCCTCTTTCAGGCTACCTGACAACAAAGTCGGGTCAAAACGGCGCACGCTCCTTTCAGCAGTCCCGAAACTTCCAGCGATGCCAGGAATGCAGAGTAAGCAAAGTCCCATACAACGTCTTTTTGTCATAGCAGCGTGCAACTGAGGAGGGTCTGCAGACATTGATATCAAACGCGTGCGAACGTCATCAACGGTCGACGCTGCCCGTGTCACGGAACGACACCCAATCTAACTAAGAAGGTAAACAAACCTGTGCGCAGAATTGTTCTGTCAAATTGGAATTATACACCGCTTGACATGGCCGCAGCCGAACTCTGCGCTTGACTGGAGCTCCCCTGACCCACCTCGGAGGCAACAACCTCGTGGTCTTGTGCAATTACCAATCTTTAACCGAATGCCCTAAACGAAAACCTCTGATTCAGCCTGCAGTTTCCCAAGCGGTCTGGGCATAAAGAAGCCCGGCATTGAACGCACCCTATGTGACGTCAGACGTACAGATGTTTGACGTAAGGGGGTGACGAAAGCCCACCTGTCAATGAGGATGTTGCCCCGCTCCGGCCGATGCACGAAATACGACGTGGCGCCGTACGAGTTTTCGGAGTGGTACCCGCTGTGGTACACCCCCTGCAAACGGAGTGACGTCATCAGTAGTCATCACAAGTCCCACTTTTAAGAATCATCACGAGTTCCCACATCTTACAGCTTCTGACCCTTCAACAGAACAGTTGTATCGCCGTTTGCATTCTGTCACACGATGTTGGTGCCGCGCGTGACGTAACCTCTTAAGAACACCTTGTAGGCAATACTTACCCACGTGGTTCTGCAAACGAAAGCACTGCAATTTGTTCGCAAGATAAGTCGACCCTCGCAACGGCGCTTCAAGTTGAGGCACACCATGCTGCTCCTCAAAGGCACTGCTGGAGTTACAGAGCCTCACCGGTAGTGTTTCAGGATCTATGGCGAGTGGAAACGTGTTCTGCGCATCTTTGATGTCCTTTGGCGGCGTTTCCGTCCGGATCGACGCCGTCGGACACGCAAGGAGCGCCTGCAGCGCACGCGTCCGCTCGTCCGGTGTTTGCGGCTGTCGGTGAACCGCAGACTGGCCGTTCAAATGAGAGAAGGTCTCGGGGGCCATCCATCGACAGGTATCGCAATCGATGCAGGTGTGATCTGCAATAGTTGAAGAACGAAGCAAAACTCAGGATATTAAAAATGGACTAGGAAGTCCTTGACCTGTGTGGAGCGCAAATCAATGTACGATCGACCTTTGGCTAGATTGACTGGCCGTGTGACGAGATAAGACATACAAAAAATGCCACAACCAGGCGGTTAACTGAAGTAGGTCACAATGAATTTGAAACCAGCTACTATTTTCTGGCAAGGCTCTTGGTTTCAGAGCAAATCTCCTCTGGGAGCTGCAATTGCCTTTATGGAGTATATAAGTTCCCCTGTCACGCTTGTTGAGTCATTCGAGCTACACGTCTATCCATGTGTCTATATCCAACCAGTAATGACAAGGAAACCTGTCCAATCAAGATTCCCATTCAGCTGGATGCAGCAGCATTGTGACTAGAAAAACTCAAACAAACAACGACTTGAGAAACCGTCAGGCGAAACCGTTGAGCAACAAATGATGGGCGTGTCAGCCAGATGTATTATTACAAAGCGTATCATCAACAGCAGCCTATGATGAATAAACCATTCAAAATTGGTTTAAATGCTGTGGCATCTCCAACAAGTAACCGTCTATAGACTTCCACTGGTCCAGAAATCGATTGAATCCGAATCAGGTCTATCCAGTCATCCCACAGGCCCAGCCCAACTCCTTCTCGTGACAGTTTTCAAGCTCCAAAAGTACCATAAGCACTACTCTCTCTTCCTTTTTAGGAGCAAAATTCAAGGCAGTCCGTCTCTTGCGAATTCTCCGTGTATGGCGAGCCTAAACAACCTCACTTTGCAAGCAGAAGCACTTCGTTAATCTCTTCCATTGACTTCCAGGTGAAACGCTCTCACACCACCAATCCACAGCCCTCGACAAACTCTTAGACCCACTCCAGCGACCTCATGTGAAAAGGGCACAACAACAATCATTCCAAAAAGCTCTCACCAACAAAGAAGTCCCCCTCCACGTTCTCTGCCCTGCGTGCCTTCCTGTTGAACCGAGTGCTCACCGCCTGCGCTACAATCTCGCTCCCAGCTTTCCGCGGTTCCTGTTGCTCAGGGTTCCTAAAGCCTTGTCCCAAAGAACGCTGGCCGCCACCCAAAAGGCTCGAGAAGGTTAGTTTTTGCATACCATGACCATAGTTGGAAAACTTTGCGGGTTTGCTTTTGCGTGCCACCGCAGAGAAGCATCTTGATTCTTCAACCACAGCGGTGGTGTGCGTCACCGATGACAGAGGAGCTAGCGAGCCCCTCTGTATCGCAGATGACGTAGCCATGCTTTCGTGCTCAGAGAAGTTTCTTCCAAAACAGCTCGGAGGTTTGTTTTTCTTGCAGGATTGAAGTGGGCTCCTGATTTGGAAGAAAGCTCTTCCCAGCTGAACTTTGCAGCAGCCTGAGAGGAATGGCGTGAGCCAATACAGAAAGCTTTTCCGGAGACACCTTCTGACGTTGGCGACCGCGCTTCCATGGCGGCCGTGAACCTCGTCGCGTTGGATTTCACCTTCAAGAAGCTTCTGAGAGCAGCACGTGGCACGAGTAAGCATCAGGATGACGTACGCCCGGGGGATCTAGCGTGCGTCCTCTGATTGGTTCAAATTTGTAGAGCAACTTTAGAGGGCACCACTTGTCAGACCGATGTGCATTATGGATGGGGACAAAATCTTGAAAGCCCCTCCATTCGCGCCACTTTGTTGGTTCCTGAGCCGTGCATCTTTTTCCGGCCTCAAATGCATGCAGAATTCTGCTCCAGAAGTTCAAGTTGGCCCACGAGAAGGGCGGATAGAAGGAGACGGGCGGATTGGAATGCGCCACTGCAAAAGCTATCAATGCAGGCGCCGCTCTCCTTATTTCCACATCCAGAATAGCTCCATTACCCAAGTCCCAAGGAGCCTTGCATCATCCTCGTGCGGGTGACTTTATCCATCTTACGTTTCGTGTTGACTGATTGCGTATTTGACATGGCATCATCTGCAGCCATTGCCTCCCGCTTGGCGGGCCAAACCGTAGCCTTGTCTCATGCGGAGCGCCGGCATGCAACCGCTGGCTCAGCATTCAGCTCCTCTTTGAAGACGAGCACGTTCACCCCCGCCGGACTCAGATGCAGCAGCAAGAATTGCGCGCAGCGCAGCAGGGTTGTGTGTGCACTTGCCGAGCAGAATGAGGTGAGGGACTTGCTGACATCATTCACAGAGATGCCAATGTCACCTTGATGCGTTTCCAAGCCACCCTTTGTATGCCTCTTCGAGAACGTTGCAACTCTGCTGCGGAAAATGTAGGTTCAATGTGGCTTGATTTTTTGTATCTTTGAACAATGTATCTTTGAACAATGTGGTTCGTGGTATTCCAAAATCTAGGTCTGTTCCATCAGTTTGTGAGGTTGATAATTACCTTTACCAATACGACTATGTTACGCATGAAAGATTGGCGAGATTGGCGGGTAGTAAGTGGTCTGTAGCCTCAAGTATTGTTGTGTCTTGCAATAAAAGTGGGCCATTAGATTACCCACTGAATGAATGCATGCATGCGTGCCTACTTCCGGTATTGGATAGTTCCTCAAATTTGAACTCGTAAATCCCAGAAGTGCAAATCTAATACAAAGAAAGTTTCCAGTCTTTATCAGGCCTAATCAAGTCTTCGACCTTTGCTGGTAAGGCGTCCATTGAATCCATAAAGTCTGTTTCCGTCCATTTGAAATCGCCAGCAACTGCGGAAGCATTTTGGTTTAATCTGTCACCATACTGACCTTACCGGGTTCCACAGAAGGTGAGACTAAGGCACTAGTAAAGCAGTGAATCACTGCGGTTAGTACATAGCTTCTTTGCTACTTCAGAATCTTGCAACAAACACTGACAACCCTTGGTTCTAACCTCCACAGGATGCTTCCGAGCTAAAGGTACAGAGGAGGAGCATCATGGCGGCAGCTGTTGCTCTTACCGCTGCACTGGTCGGCGAGACCTTTGCAAGCGGCAATGCCAAGGCTGACATTCAGAAGGTGGAAGGTGCTGTAAGAGATGAGCAGGATGCTGTCACTCAGGTATGTCCCTTTGAAGTTGTACTATCTTTGATTCTGTGAAATACATGTGGAGTGTTAGAAGGAGAGCCTTTCTATTGAACAGGCTGTGACGATGGCTTTGGGTTGGCTTTGTTTCATGTGGTTCAGATTTTCGTCATTCATGCGAAAGACAATATGTCGTAGTTTAGTGGGTCCTCCTTCCATAAGCTTTCCTCCTCATCGCCGTAAGAGTCTTGAGAAGCCCTGCATGCTATGGCGACTGAGAAGCGTCTTGCCATGAACATCTTGCTCCAGATTTTGTGTCTCAGTGACTCTACTGACGCGTGTCTTCCTTGATGATGTCATCTACATTAAGCTCCTTATGCCCGAAAACATCGTCGCTGCATCAAAGACTTTACAATAGTTCATGTTGACTTGCAAATTTTGTTTGAGTAACTCATCTAGTCATTCCGCTTCTTCACTCGCAGGGTAGGAGAGAGCCCTCCACTCTTGGGCGCGGGGCTGGAAACACTGTCCAGGAAGCTGGACGCGTCAATGCTCAGGCCTCAGGCGGCACAATCACAGTGAGTTGGAAAGACTTTCTCTGTGCACAAACTTGCTACTCTACTCTATAAGAGGTGTGGTGTCAGGTTTATGCATGCATTATTTGGTGGTCCCATCTATCCATGCATCAGCCATTGACAGAAGTGCTCAATAGGGGGCCAATCATAGCCTGGATTCCTGTCCCCCTCTTCGTGTGATTGTCATATGATGAGAGTTTTTCCTGAACACTGTAGCTTGAGAAATAAGGTTCAAACAAGGTCATTTACAGGTTTTGATCACATGCTTTCTTGAAGGTGGAAGGTTCTGTTCTAGTGGCTGCAACCCAATCCTCAAAACGGTCTTACACCTACGAATCATGTGCTAATCTGGAATCCTTATTTTTGCAGGGAGCTCCGAAGATGGAGAAGCCCGGCGGTGCTTACCGGTCTCCTCAGAGTGACACCCTGACAATTGGACAGGACGTTGACTCCAAGAAATCGAGCCCCGCTGGTATTCTGCAAGGCAAGAGCCCTGGCAAGTCTGCCGGGGAAAAGTCGAGCCCAGTTTAGATTTGGATTGAGTAAATGTCCGGTATGTGTTGCACGCGTTGTATTGTAGTTCTACGGGGGCCTGACAAGCTAAAGCGCCCCCGGTTTTGAGTCTGTATTCTAACAATGTAAACTAGCGCGCTGACTGACTCGGTGAGATCAACACTTTGTTGGAAGTAACAGTAAAATGAAGATAGAGGGTTATCTTGAGAATGGATAAGAGGCACGCGTTGGGACTGTAGCTTAATTGTATGGTAGCCGTTCGAGACGAAGTGGCTGGTAACGATGGACTGATTGCGCTAGCATACATTGAACGATCTCCCGATTTCTGTAAAACAGAAAATGTAAATGTTGTGTACGGAAAGCAACACTCCAAGTTTTCAATGGATGTTTAATTGCGGCCGCCATCCAGTATCCGACACCATGTGAACGCATTCTCTGAAAATTTGCATATGAACGGTATAAACTACGTGGGATGAGATAGTTTATATCGGTTGTATGTAATTGCATTGCACGCCCACTACCATGCCATGAAGATCGTCTCAACATCGATCGAATGCATGGCTGGGCCGCTTTCATTAACATACGCTATGGTGTGCAATAAGAACTATGTGATGTCAAACTTGAAACTTTTGACACATACACCATTCGATTTGTAAGTTTCATTCAACACCTCCGAGGCTCGCTTGCAAAGCAAGCAGCGTCTGGCTGCCGTCTCTCCTGACAGTATGATCAATGTCAAAGGCTCTTAAAATTGTTTGCTAGGGAGCAGCAGCCCCTCTCCAGGTTTCACGCCTGCTTGGTCACGCACTCTAGGTTTGTCGTGCATCATCATGACGCAGTGACTTACTCTGCATCACACCGCTAATAGAAGGCGCAGTGGATACAAATTTTGCTCGCCTAAGGGGGAAGGCTTTCAACCCTCCCTTCCGTGATTTATGAGAAGAGCAATGCATCGAACTTCAGCCCAAAGGGCTGCTCTCATGACGTCCGCAAAGGTGGTGAAACTAAGATGACTCCGTCCCCTCTCACGAACAAGAAGGGTATTGTGCGTTTATCCACCTGCAGAGTGGAGAACTTGGAGATTGACATGCTGCTCTCCTTAACCAAGTCCGAAGCTCATCCCACCAGACACTAAGACTTACCTCTGAAGCTTTCGGCACAATTGACCTTCTAAGTCGGGGTGGTTGGAGTAAAACTTGAGGTCTATCTACGCATCCATACAGAACGAAAGGTCAGCACGTCCAAGTGGGTCTTATACAGCATCGAAGCTATGGGAAACCAACATTTTTGGACTAGTCCAAGCTACGCAACCTGGAGCAAAAGCTTGTGAAAGTGCCCCCCAAAACCTGCCAAAGCTGATGCAGAAGGACATCTTTTAGGAGTCACACCCGGACTCCTATACAGACTGCGAATCTGCGACTTTCAGGGGCAAAATCCTGGCTGGTAGGACTCTTGTATCAAATTTCCGACCAAACAGAAGCTTCTGGAGACTAGGGCACAAGGAGAAGGAAAATGCTTAACAACAAACCTGGGGCTGCTTTATGGCTGGGGCTATTCGAATACTCCTCGCATAATTAAATCTTGATGATCCCTTTTGCTACTGTTGACCCGCAGTAACAACCTTAGAAGAACTCGAAGCCACGGAGAGTCCTCCACAAAAAGGGACATGATGCCCCGTCCTGTCTCCTTACCAATCCTTGTCAATCCACTCCAAATATGCACCTGATGTTTGATACATGCTTTAAACGCTGCTTCATGCACAAACTCAACTGAAGGATGGTCCAGGATGCGAGAGCTTTCACGATGTACTGAAGCCCTCAGACAACGCCCCGGCAACAGAAGTGCAAACAGCAAAAGGGAAAAACGAAGTCCAATTACTAGCGTGCGTCCTCTGCTCACTCACCCTCACAATCTCCTCATATGTCTCATCGTCTATTTCCACCAGCGTGACCGACTCCTCTACGTCTCCAAGAACCATGTTTAAGTGCTGATCATACGCCTGCAAAATGGAAGCGCTTTCAGCATCACCGCTTCTCGACAGCAGCAGTGAACCCTTTGAGGTTTGGTGGTCGAAAGGGCAGCTTCCCCCCTAAAATATGAAGTCCCTAAGTTTGGAGGCAACCCAGGTTGCCTTGTGTGTCTACCTTCTTTATTATGGAGCATAGGAAAGCATGGACCCAGATGTCAGATTGAGGTGCTTCTGGAAGTTTTGGTGAGTTCTGGGGGGGACCAACAGGACAATCGCATAAGCAATAAGTTGCACAGGAGAAGCATACAAGGTGGGACCGGCTGCCCCTTTTTGAAATTAAGCAACTGCCCCCTGCGTTCGGAAAGTGCAATCCAAATGAAGATGGCCTCAGGTACTTCAGGATCACGGAGCTCAACCAGGTATTGCACCAAAGAAATCCATCTTGAACGGAAGGGCAGTAACGTGCAGAGCAACTCGACCTTCAAAAACTGCTAGAGTTGGCCTGATTGAGTGACCATACCACCTTTCCGCAGGCCAGATACCAAAATGAGCAGCAAAACGACCCATTGTAGGTTTTACACAAGTGTGACAGTGCAGCCTGCGGAAACCACTTGTTTTGACAAGAGGCCACCCAAGCAGCTTCCTCAAGACTCACATGAAGTTTCCCTCTCAATTCCCGATCCCCGCGCAGCTTGACATATATCCTCTCATCTAGGCTCAGCCTTATAAGATCGAGCGGCTCCTTTACTGTGTTGTCCTCTTCTGCGGCTGCCATGACCCGCTGTAGGTTGTGTGGGACAACAAGCAGAGGATTTGCTGGAAGCCTTACAAGTTGCAGATCAATTGCTGGAAAATGCGCCCTGGCCCCTGGGCAGTTGCTCTCGCCTCAGGCTCAGGACCAGGAATGGCTGTGTGTGCAGAGGCTGGCCCGCTTTTCTCTTGTGTCTGTAATATTTAGGGTAAGGTCATGTTGAAGCTGACCCCCTACGGTATGTTCAGTTCAGAGGGTGGGGGGTTGGGGGTTTAAAATCCTAAGGGCAGCGGGAGGGGGGGCTCGGGGTTTCCGCCATGGTCGAGCCGCAGGCTCGGAAATTGTTGTAATATCGGTCTGAAAATGCTGTTTTCAGGGGCAAAATAGCCGCAAAATACACATATTCATACAGCCGGAGGGGGGGGGGGCTCGGCTTATCCTTGAGTGGAGGACAGCGGGAGGTGGGGGGGCCTGGCCGTTCGGGTCTCGAGGGGCTCTGGACTGAACATAGGGGGTCCACTACAAAATGACCTTACCCTTACAAAATTGCCTTAGCTGCTTCGATCTCTCTAGTTTCAGCTTGAATTACAACTTTCTTGCAACTTTGCTGAAACTTCTGATCTCTAAATCCAATCGAAGTTCAGAAAAGTCCTCAACGTCCCAGGAACTCAACAATGTGCTAACCAATCAGATCTTGGAGCGGCTTGCATACATATGCCGGTTCATGTTGATTGCCACTTTTTCAACACTGCCAACAGTCTTCAAAGTTCAGATCAGCTGCAATTCCAGATCCAATCTGCCTGGCGCCTCCGAGTCTGAGCTGTGGAGCAGTGAGCACCAGTTTCTGTTTGCTGCATTCTCATGATTTTTCAGGCCCTCTTTCAGGCACCTGTAGCTGAGGTGTTGAAGAATATCATTCTTCACGTCCAGCAGAAAATAGTTGGGATTGAAAGCAAAGTCCTTTCTGCAGTGGTTGCACGTAAGGAAGGAAGGGGAGTTTCTTTCGGCGGTCAGGGGTTTCCAGACGTTGCGCTCTCTGAACTTTTGAAATGACCTTGCGGCTCCCAACTGAGTAGCGGCAAGGTGGCGGGGTAGACTGGTATACACAGGCAAGCAGCGGTCTGAGTGCCACCAATCAAGTTTGTAGCGAGCATGCCTGAACCTCTAGAAACGCACTAGAGAAATCCAACGGGTCTGTTGCACTTGGACACCACCAAGATGTAAGCTATTGCTGGGGATGGGCCACTCTTCAGTGAGTGCCGCAAAGTCCCCTTTTGCAATTGGTCACTCGTTTGTTCTGCCAGCTGACAGCTCAAGCCTCAGTACAGCAGGGTTTGAATCGTAAATTCAATGAGAAGCAGCTGACGTGCTCAATCAAACTTATTGTCACACTAATCAAGCAGGAGTGCCCCACAAAGGGAGTGCTTGGATTGTTTGATATTGGAGTTCCGAACAAGTGGAAGGGCCGAGCTGAGGCGCCTGTGGGCGATGTTCACGTCTGGCAGCAGCCAGACCGTCGCACCAGGGGGCCAGCAAAGTCAGGCCGGGAGAGCAGGGTTCACCCCCCCAGAGCGGTGAAACACGGCGCACGACGTTCAGGGCGCTGTTCAAGGGGGTGGGGCCGGCGGCGCAGCCGCCCCCCCACATCGCGCTCACGGCCGCCAACATGTCGAACACAGACCTCCCCGCGCTCGGGAAGAAGAAGAAGCCGGGGTGCCGCATGTGGCTCCGGTTCGACATTTACGGGAACACCGAGGTGCTTGAGGTGGACAAATATGCAATCATGCGGCGCGCGTCCATCCCCGCGCGCGACCTCCGCATCCTCGGGCCGCTGATGTCGAACTCGTCGACCATTCTGGGGCGCGAGAAGGCGATCGTGCTGAACTTGGAGCACATCAAGGCGATCATCACGGCAGAAGAGGTCCTGCTGCTCAATGCAAACAGCGCGGCGGTGATCCCGTTTGTGGAGGAGCTCAGGAGGCGGATCTCGCTGCCGGCGACGAGCCCCCTGAGGGAGGAGGCGGCGAGCCCGGACCGGGCGAACGGGATGCAGAACCACGATTCGCTGCCGTTCGAGTTCCGCGTGATGGAGGTGGCGCTTGAGGCGGTGAGTACATTTTATTAGACTGTCCGGGGGATCTGAGTTTGTTCAGACATTGGCGTTGTCAATCAGCCAAAAGCTTATCAGCTTTTCCTCTTGCTTCATAGGCCGCGTTATGTAAGATGTTCGTTCATCATGCCATCCCAATGTCGACAGTAAGACCACGCGGATCTGACAAAAAGATCTGGTCGAAGGATCCGTACCAATGATGGCAAATGTCTTCTGATATTGTTTGGTCATCGCAGGCTGGAGTGGTCAGCTTGATCTGATCGACGCCTTTGTGCCTTTTCCTTTTCCTTTCATTCTCTCCTTGTCTCCTTCTTTTGTCAAAGGTAGTGTTAGCTGAGGTGCTGTGGATGCTGGGAGAGAAGACCCTCTTTCAAGCAACCTCGTCTTGTCTGTATCACTTTACGAGCACTCTGCAAATCGTCGACACCCTCCGTGACTCAAATGCACGCCCCTACTTCACAGGTGTGTAGTTATCTGGACGCTCGGACACAAGAGCTCGAGGGCGACGCATTCCCTGGCCCTGGACGAGCTCACCGCAAGAAATTAACTCCAATATCAAGTCCTTTCTGAACCATCTCAAGCCCCTTCACAAGCATTCCGCAAACTTGCACAATTCCCGTTGTCAGTGGAATCTCTCCTCATTCTCCAGGTGTGTAGTTTCCTTGACGCTCGGACTCAAGAGCTGGAGGGCGACGCATACCCGGCCCTGGACGAGCTCACGGCAAAGATTACACTCCCAGATCTAGTGCTCTCTGTAACCTTCTCAAGCCCATTCACAAGCACTCCGAAAAGTCCCGTAATCCCGTTCTGACCGAAATACTGGTGTGTACTTATTTCGACGCGCGGATGCAAGAGCTCGAGGGCGACGCATACCCGGCCCCGACGAGCTTACGGCAAGAATAACACTCCCAATTTCAGTGCTGTCTGAAGCATTCAAAGCCCGTTCAGAAGCACTTCGCAATATTCCCCCGTCAAGGAGAGTCACTGAAGTACCCCTCCAAATGTGCAGGTTTGTAGTTACCTCAACGTGCTTTTTGAACCATTTCAAGCCCGTAGACAAGCACTCCGCAAACTCCCACGTACAAATCTGTAGTCCCTGAACGACTTCCTCAAATCTGCAGGTGTGTAGTTACCTCGACGCTCGGACGCAAGAGCTCGAGGGCGACGCGTATCCGGCCCTGGACGAGCTCACGGCAAAGGTGACGGTGATGAACCTGGACCGGGTCAGAGGGCTCAAGAGTCGGCTGACGCGTCTCACGGCCAGGGTGCAGAAGGTAGGTGCGGTGCATATGTCGTCGTGGATTCGATTGGTATTTTTAGGCTAGCTGTCAACCTCGAAACAAGTACGTGTCTTCTTCAGGTGTTTGCATTACGTCATCGTGCAGAGCTCAGGTATTGCAAGTTATCGCTGTAGGAATGCCTTGCTTAAAGTGGTGGTCTGCAAGCGGTTGACTTCTGTGCTGGCTTGCAGAGACCGAAGTCCGTCGACTGGTGTTTCTTACTGGCAGATGCTGCAGCAGTACAACGACAGTTTCGCTCTTGTGTTCTGTTCCCCTATTGGCTTGTTCTACGTCAGGCATCAAGCGTGTAGATATCTCAGTGTCGCGTGGATAACACTGTTAACTGCCGCTTTCTGATTTTCCTCCTTCAAGCCCCTCCAGCGCCCAGCTGGACTGGCCTTGCTTTCGTTTCCGCCGTGTCTATGTCGCAAAAGCATGATCAGGTTCTCCCCGTCACTGGAAAAGCAGCATGGATTGGACCTGTCTGGGGCAGCAACGGCCTCAGGATGGCTTCGTAGCTCATTGAGTACCTCATTTGGATTTTGTGAATCTTACCCAATTTTGGTGGATAGATTTATATTTATATTTTATTTTTAGATTTATTAAGAGAGGTCGAGAGGGGCGCTTCTGTCCCTTCTTGCGGGCGTGCGACGGGCTGCAGTAGCTGTTGGGAAACTTTGCAGCCCACTCAGTACCTCATTGGGAATTCTGAGACCAGCGGTTTTTGGTTAAGACGGGTTGAGAGAAGACCCTTTTTGCAGGTGTTAAGAGGAGACCCTTTTGGCAGGTGCACAAGATGGAGCAGCTGCTAAGTGATTCTTGACGGCGACATGATCCCGCCAAGTTTTGGGAGTGGTGGGTCGAGAGCAATTTCAGAGGGGTTCAAACGGACTTCCGGCTTACTCTCTGCAGGTGCGCAGCGAGCTGGAAACAGTTCTTGGACGACGATGGGGAGATAACGAATCTGCAGCCCGTCTAGTACCTGATTTCGGATCGCATGATGAAGCTCTTTATGTCAAAAGAAAATAAGACGGGTGTTCAGAGAGGCCAACCGGTTTTTAGAATTCTTTGCAGGTGCGCGACGAGCTGGAGCAGCTGTTGGACGACGACGGCGACATGGACGATATGTACCTGACGCGCAAGATGCTGAACGCTCAGAAGGAGGCATCGCGCGCGGGGTTCACGGTTGCGCCGGACGACGAAATCCTGAACTCGCCCATGGTCATGTCTCGGTGAGCGTTTTATCAATTTTCCTGTGCTTAGTTCGTGCTCAAAAGGAGAACTTTCTGGCGCCCGGAAAGAGGGCTCGCGCCCGGAGCTTGCGATTGCGCCGAAAGACCAAGTGTTGAATTCGCCGATGTCTCGGTAGGCGCCGTAGGTGGTTATGTTCTCACTTATCCTTTTGAAGCAGGATCTTTTATCTCGTGCTTATGTTTCGGGCGATTCATCAAGGTTTTGTGCGGAGCTTCGTTGTCAAAGCAGGACTTTCTGAACGCCGGGAAGGAGGTGTTGCGCGCGGAGTTCGCGGTTGCGCTAAACGAGGAGGCGCTGATTTCGCCGATGGTCATGTCCTGGTGCATTCTGGAGCAAAGTTTTCTTCTTGCTTTCTAGTTTGAATGCGTCACTTTAAGATCCGCCCAGAATCCAGAGCAAAATCTTGTTTTGCTTTCGAATTTGAAGGCGTCACTTTAAAATCCGCCCAGAGAACATCTTGCGTGTGGGAGTCAGGGTCGTGCCGGACAATAAAATATCGAAGTAGTCATGTTCCGGTGAGGATCATATCAAACTTTCTTTCGTAGATTGTCATCTAAAGGTAGGCCGGTGGGGCGAGTGTTCAATCAGGCTTCCGTACTTTGCTTTCCTTTGCTATAGCATGACTCTCGGAATTAGTCAAAACGGATGGTTCTCGGTCACCGGTTTTTGAAGTTTTTGGGAAGGCAGCCAACCTATCACGTGCCCAATCACTGGCAGCCTTCAAACCTATCGAACACTTTAGTACCTTGTCAAATCTGAACCTGCCTTCTGGTTTGATCGAAGAGAGCGTGAACAGCAGCAGGGCCAGCCGGGATTTGACAGCGGGTCAGTCTACATGTGTTCGAAGGAGAGCGCGAAACCTTCGGAAGTCAGAAATCAGTGTTGTGCCGTTGCAGATTCTCGCTTTCCATCCGTCTCTTTTTTTCCGATCCTTCAATCCGGCGTGCGTGTGGCGCGCTGAGCCAGCTAGGAAGCTGCAGCGGTTTTGAAACCGCCAGTGCCTTGACAGGCGGGCAACCGATTCGTCACATTGTTTATTACGAACGATTTCGTTCACGGAAATTCCAGCCATGTTCGGGAATTACGCCTAAGTAAGTTTCGGGTGATGGTATTCTCCAGTCTATCGTCGAGCATGTTGGACATCACGGGTGATATTCTTCCGGATTGCCGAAACTTAAGCTGCCCTTTTCACCGGGTTGACCGGGACTTAACCTGCCTTTTTCACCGGGTTGACCGGGACTTAACCTGCCTTTTTCACCGGGTTGACCGGGACTTAACCTGCCTTTTTCGCTCAACAGGGCCAGCAGCCGGCGCGCGTCCGGCGCGCTGAGCCAGATGGAGAGCGACAGCGACAGCGACAGCAGCGACGGCAAGTTCGACGTGGAGGAGCTGGAGATGCTGCTCGAGTCGTACTTTCTACAGATCGACACCTCGCTCAATAAGCTCTCCACGGTAGGCTCGCGTCTCTTTCAAAGCATCAGCACATCGCCGTTCCCGTTCTGAGTTTAAGGTTGTTCCGTGCCCACCGGTTGAATGTGCGGCCTTATACCTAGAAAGAGGACAATTGAAAATGTCTTCTGCGGTTTGACGCCTCTCCTAAAAGGGTGGTCGCGATTTGCCTTCGTCCTCTCCTTATGGTCAGTCTCTTCTCGTCTGGGAGCGGAAATCACGTAGGTTTTGAAGGAGCACATTTGCAGTGTTTGCCTGTGCGCGGACTTACTCGCTTAACAAGCAGGCTTTCTACGTCGCTTTTCTGTACGATTTCTTAAAGGGCTGATTGGGGAAGCGCTTGGGATATGAAACAAGCCATGTCGAGTCAATCTGTTTGTAGAGTAAGACCTCCCTCACCCTATGATTTCTGTTGGGATTCTGGACGAAGGCTACGGTCGTCCTTCTGCCGCTCTGCTTGGAGGAACCCTCGAAAGTTGCAGGGGGCGAATAGGACTCGTCATTGCAACCTTTACTCCCCGACTGATTGCATCGAAGACTTTGAATGACGGGCTGACACGTGGCGCTCGCTCGTGCAGCTGAACGAGTTCATCGACGACACGGAGGACTACATCAACATCGAGCTGGACAACCAGCGTAACATCCTGCTGACGATGCAGCTCATGCTGACGACAGCAACCTTCGTAGTCGGCTGCTACACGGTCGTGGTCGGCGTGTTCGGAATGAACATCCCAAACAAGCTTTACCACAAAGGGTCCATGTTCAAGTGGGTGGTGGGGAGCAGCATATTCGGGATGTTCGTCATCTTTTTCGCGGTCATCGCGTACGCCAAACGGCAGAACCTGATTGTTATGTGAGCGGGGCCCCTCATTGCGGTGCTTTAGAGAACAGGATGCTAGTGGCGGCCCGTGAAATCTTAGAACCGGAGTTAAATCGCTCTCATTTAAAAAGTGGAGTACCCTGGCACTGGGAGCCTAGCCTAGAGCTCGCTAACCTACGATAAACCTATATAACTGACTGGAGGATCGGTGAAGCATCATCAATCCGTCTTTCCTCATACAACTCATGCATGCGTGGATGCGGTTGTCTGGCATTTTAGCTACTTCGTGATCACAGAAAGTCACTTGCACTGCATGAGACGGTTGGGGCCTTGATGTGTGATACTTTTTTGGTCGGACAGTGAAGACGAGCGGGACGGTTTCCTAGTATAGGCTAGTCATGGCCGGCCTCAGCCTCCGGGCCGGGTCAGACGGTGATTCCACTTGTCCGCATGCCGTCGCGCTACCGAGCGCCTACGACGTCGAAAACGCCAAGCTAGCCGCCAATGGCAATATCCGCCCGGGTCTGCAGAACCGGTCACCTCAGCCGGTTTCTGCTGCCGATATTCTCGCGCAAAACCTGGCAAACCAGCCGGATATGAACCTAGACGATTTGCCCGGTAACCCGGTGGTCGACTGCTCGGTTAGAGATTTGTTAACCCCCATGGAGAGCTGTTTGGGGGGCGCGTCCGAAGTGTGTTGCGCGGCGATTGACGCGGCCTTCGCGCCCGGGACTAAAGCGTCAACCAGAAACTGTCTGTGCCTGCCGGACGTCGCAACCACGGGGCTCCACGTGGCGCTCGGGTTTGGGGTCGACTTCAACAAGGTGAGGCGGCCGCGTCGGCTCGTAAGTCAAGGATCTTTGAAGAAGGTATACAACTCGCCTTCTGGCGAAGGTCGAAGATGTCGGGGCACATGCTTTTGGCCCGTTCGATCTTGTGTTCTAAGACGCTTATAGGTTACAACCGCCTGTCAGGCTTTGCGGTTTTGGAGATGGTGAAATCTAGCACCCCAGATTATTCTTCAACGAAAGGCTGCGCTTTGTCGGATAATGTACGCCTGGTTTAAAGGGACTTGGTATCTGTTCTTTCAACTCATGTGCACTTTATGTCGCCGATGATCTGGCGCTCACTGAGGCTCCCGACTTTCCTTCGTTTCGCTGCTTTGAGCCATTTGCAAGTCGATTGACGCAGCCTTGACGCGTATTCCGCCAGAATATCAGAGCGATACCTGACTCAGACTTCACGTTACTCAGATAGAGTCGAAGCGCATTCACCAACCCACCACTTACCCTCCCAGGTTCTGTCCGACTGCTGGACCGACTACGGGCTGCAGACCAACTGGTACGGCGAAACAAATGGCCACTGCCCGACGCTCGCCGTAAGGTCCGATCCATACCTGTGGCGCGCGCTCGTGCCCAATATGATTACCCTCCTGCTGATCTACTGGGTCCTGTGCGCGGTCGCGCACTCCGCGCTCCGCCGGCGGGCGCCGCCCTACCGGACGCTGTCCGCGCTCAAGCAGCGGAACACTGCGACGTACCTCCTCGAGATTCTGGTGACGTCAGCTGCGCTCGTGCTGACGTTGGCCTACGGCGGGGACGTGCTGTTCTTCGGGCGGAGCGGCTCGGTCGCGGCCGCGACAAACGCGCGCATCGGGCTGCTGCTGATCGCGAGCCTGTACGTCTTCGAGCTCGTCTACCGGAACGAGACCGGAATTCCGCTCATGCTGCACCACGTGGTGACGATCCTGCTGATCGTGCTGCTGGACTTCTCGAGCAAGGACGACGCGCCGTCCGCCGAGGCGCGCGCGTTCCAGAGGTTTGGGCTGCTCGTATCGCTTCACGCGTCGACGGAACAGCTGACGTTCGTGGGGCTCGCCATGTACCGGCTGGGGCACCCTTGGGCCGCGCGCGTCATGAAGGTGAGCGCGCGCGAGAGTCTGATGGTGTGCTTGCGTCTTAAACCAGAAAGAAACTTGTGCGCTCCGAGTTACCCGCTGCGTCACCCCTGGGCCGCGCCTGTCAGGAAAAGGAGCGCGAGCGCGAATTCTCATGTCGCGTGCCAGCGATGAGCGAGCAACGAATTTCGTGCCTTGCGAACGCTCTGAGTTTCTATTATCCTACCCAAAAGTCCTTACTCCGACTCGCATGATTCTTTCCAATATTTGGTGCTGTGATTCGGGTCGAGCGGGGCAGCATGTATCCATTTGTTTGGGTCTAAAAAAACCGTTGCAAAGAACGAACGTTTCTGAACCCCGTCTGAAGACTGTCGGTTTGAGCGCCGATGTCTTCAGGCGGTTCGGAATGCAATTCAATTATCTCCAGCTAGTTTCTTCCTCTTCCCTAGACCTTGACAGAACCTTGCCTTGTCTGAGGTGCCGTATAGAGTCTGTTCAACGACCGTTCGGACACTGACCGGTCCACTGACGTAAAGAAACCAGGCCTTTGAAAGCCGTTGTTGCCTTGGTTCTGGACGCGTAGACACATCTCAATACTCAGGTGTCGGACTCGGATGACTTCACCAACACATTCGACTCGGCTGCTCCAATTGACGGCGCGAGATCAGAGTCCATTTTTTGACTGTCGCTCTCAATCTGCCGCGGCCTGGGTTTGTTTTGGCTCGGCTCTGGCCTCCATTCTTGCTAACACTCCGACACTTTCTCAGGAGTGCCCTTTCTGCAGATCTCCACGTGGCAGGTCCTCGTCTTCAAGCTCGTCATCAACGTGCTGACGTGGGCACTCCTGATCGACTTCTACGTTACCCAGTACGACGAGCCGTCCGCGTCACGCAGCGGCACCAACTGGCATATCGTATGGCCCATCCTGCTCCCTTTCCTCAACATGGCTCTCTTCGCCTCCCAACTCTACTCCGTCTACATCATCCACGTCATCGCGACGCGGCTCGAGGCGCGCGCGCGCTCAGCCGACCTCAGCGGTGACGACTCCCCGTCTGGTGATGATGGCAGCGACGCCGCGGAGAAGACGGTGACGTGGCAGCTGGAAGCCGCGCCCGAAGAGGAGCAGAAGGCGCCCGCGTTCAACCGGAGCCAGAGTGCGCCGGCGAGTGCGCGTTTCGTACGGCAGACTAGCCTGCAGCGCGCGCGCACGTTCGCGCACCAGGCGAGCATAAAGATTCACGACGCTATAGATCAGGACATCGAGAATGTGTAAGAGCGCCGCCGCGAGTTAAGAGTGCGCGCACACACGCGCGCGCGTTGTCAGGGAATCGTACTAGCTCGCGCTCGCGCACAAGGTGGGCTGTAACGTGAAAGCGCGCGTCATCCGATCAGTCTGTCTCAGAAGAAGAGCAATGCGTGCAGCGTGAGTCGTAACTTTACGGATTCTCGTAAAATAGGCGGCTGGTATCATCATGATAGACAGACAGCGTTGTTTGGCACACTTTACTCCGTTCGGCGTCCTTCGACGATCTCTGCTGAGAAGCTAGGGACGTTTTACACAACCGACGTAGTTGAGACGTCTCGGGTCAAAAGAAGCACTCGGTTGATAGCTACGAAATACGACAGAACAGTTAGCCATTCATTTGGGCTAGTGCCGCGTCGCACGCGAGGTGGCACGTATCCAACGTGATGCAGATAAGTTGGTACGTATAGAACCCTGCGTGCATAGCAAAGAAGTACGATTGCGACGTCACGCTAGGATCATTATCTTGCTGCTCGCAAGTGCGGCAGGTTCAGTAGCTTTTGATTCGTTGCGCTACGTGGAATACTTGAGCTAGCTGGCATCAACCCCGCTTAGGAAAAATCAGATCATCTGATACGATAATTCGACCTTCAAATCAGGTCGGTACCGGTTGGAGGCCAAACCTAGGTCGCGTTTAGAGAAGTCATTGACGGTTGGATCAATTTTCTCTATAGAAAGCTTCCGCAGGCACCTGGCCACGTGCGTCGTCGTCCCTGATTGATTAAGTATCGCGCCCTTCCAAGCTGAAAGGACCAATTGGAAACCCTTGGCAGTGTCTCAATTAATGGCGTTGATCTATCGTTCCTATGAGGGCCGTTTCCATGGAACCGATTTCCCGGCCGGCAATGCAGAAGTACGTCGAATTAGTGCCACTAGGCTTGTGCCAACATGCGCAACTCGACAGCGTATGTTTTGCTTATATACGTCGCATGATTGAAAGCGGTCAGGACTTTGATTGCTATACTGGACTCTGACATGGATCATTCGAGGCTGCCGGCGCGATTCAGAATGTCGCGGACTCACGGAAGCCTGCATATCAACGTACAAAGATCTGCTCAGTGCAAAGTCGGACGCATGTGCATGGTTGAGGCGCCCGCCACGCAATTGAATATGGTAGCTGAGCGTGCAGCTGCATACAATCGTGACTTTACGTTTAACGGTTGGAAGTTGAGACAGCACCGATCGAGGAGCTCCGACTGAACAATTAAGTTTCTTGAGATTATTGATCGACGTGGTCGTTTAGACCGACGTGGTCGGGCTGCAGCTAGAAGAAAGTTTTTGACTAGTATACTGACGAGTGCAACAATATCATGGGCGGATGCATCACAAACATGCTTATCCATTTCTTAAATGGCCCCCGGCTATGATAAATGCTGAAAGATACATGCCATGTTGGTCGATCACTCCGACGGTTTCAACGAACGGAACAGTACCTAAGCGCATGCAATATCTGACTGTCAATAAAGTTATTTCAATTGTGGAGAAGTAAGGTATAAGTTTAATGCCAATTAATTGTTCATCTCTTGAAAAGTTGTCAGTGTGACCGGTCACTGCGCTTCAACAACCTTAGTACTAAGCCAATGTGGCCCAGACTCATTGATCAATTGCTTCAAGCCCTCTTTGCGACTGAAATGTTTGCTGCTATCCAAACGTTTGCCACTCTGTGTTATGTTGCACAGAAAGAAGCATCCCTCTCATAACCTCTACCCACTACCGTACTACTGAGTGACGTACTTATCCTAGTTAACCTTAAGGACAGGCTAATTAGTAAGGTATTTATAACATTGTAAGAGCCCTCATGCAGAGACTGTACTAGCTCCTAGCTGTGGATGCACAAAGCACGTGCTGCGTGAATGCAATACATCTGCCACCGAAATTCACCAGCAACACTTAAGCAGACTACCTATCTCCAAAAATTACACACAGATTTCAGCTTTTGTCCATACTTCACACCGTTCCCTCAACCTTACACCACGCTGTGTCCAGAGCCCAAGCCGGCTTAAATCCCCCGTACTGGAACTCAAGAGCAGGCCACATCCTCTGCTGGCCGAAGCGCCCTATCCCGTGGCCCAATTGGCAGCTCCTTTCCCGAGATCCGCCCGACGTCCGCCTTCGCTCCATGCGGCCACAGGTGCGAGAGGGCCACCACTTGACCGATCATGATCAACGTCGGTGACACCAGCTGTGCTTTTTCTACCAGATCGTGCAACTGTGTCAACTCCCCAAACACCGTTCTTTGCTCGGGAGTCGTCCCCCGCTCGACCGCAACCGCCGGCGTATCCGCTGGTAACCCGTTTTCTACTAACCGGGTTACCAGAGCGGGTAACGTGGCTAACCCCATGTAAACCACAAGCGTCGTGTCAGGGTCCGCTGCCCCCCCCGCCACGAACAGGGGATCGTGCCCCCCCTTCCGAGAATGCCCCGTGAGGAACCTAACGTTGTTTGCCACTCCCCGGTGAGTCAGGGGGATCCCCAAGGATGCCGAGATTCCAGAGGCCGCCGTTATGCCCGGAACAATTTGCACGTGGATGCCCTTCATTTCGAGAAAGTCCATCTCCTCCCCACCCCTTCCGAAGACAAGCGGGTCGCCCCCCTTGAGGCGCAGGACTGTAGCGCCCGCCTCAGCAAAGCTGAGAAGCAGCTCGTGGATCTCATCCTGAAAACGTATGTGAAGTGGGTTAAGTATGGCGGTAGTTAAACCAAAGACGTGGGTTAGAGGCAGGAGGAATCCCTGTGGCACCACAGAATCTAACGCACGTCTTCGATTTGTACTTCAATCCAGTATGTTGATGATGTGTCACCTATACTGTCCTGCCAGGTGAAATTGAGAATTGACACTGCCAGCGCTTTTGTGTGTCACCCTACTTCAGAAACCGGGTCAACTGAAGAAGCAGCTGGAAAGGGCTAAAAAGCCACAAGGCTATACTCAACGTATTATCAAAGCTCGCAGAACAGAACTTGGAGCATAGCACAGGCTACCACCATGTTTCAATTCCATACTGTGGCCTTTTACCCTATTCTGCTGGCCGAAAGGGAAAATCCAGAGGCATCTGATGTGAGATTTTCGCACCTTTGCTATGCAGTCTAGCAAGTACCGCGGCAGACAGCCGACACCTACCAAAATACCAAAGACTGCTCCTACACCAACAAGTCAAACCGTATCGCAACAACACCGTAAGTCTTCCCCATATGCATCTTTTTGGATTACCATGCCCACCACCAACCATCACGGGCTGTCCAACAAGTGTAAATGTCCAGCGGAAGGGTACACTTCGAGCGAATATTTTGGCCGCACTGAGTCCTGAATAAGCATCAACCTTTGCTCTAACATCAGCACTTGGCCTGCCAACCAATCAAACTAAACAGAAATAGACCAGTCAACCTAAACCGAACTCAATCAATCATGCTGATTGGAATTCTGCTCTTGCACGTTACTTTCTTACCTGTGTCCGCGTATGATACCCCGCCGTCTTGCCCACATACAGCAGCCGCGCCTTGTCGCTGACCATGTCCAGAATCTCGGCTGACACCAACCGGTCATACAAGACAAGATCCGCACTCTGCATCAGCCTGAGCGCTTTCACCGTCAATAAATCAGGATCCCCAGGGCCCGTTCCAACCAAGTACACGTTCCCTGGACCAGACCTTTTCACACCGCCTTCCCGCTCTGCCCACTTTTTCTCCAGCAACGAGAGCACCTGCTTGAGCTCCGGGAGGCGGATGTCCCGATCGTCACCCAGTGGGGCCGCTCCATCAGCGCCAGATGGCGCCGCGCTGTGTTCACGCTCGTCAGAGCAACCGCGCGGGAGCGCGTGCTCTTTCTCGAAGAAAGGGGAGACTGGGGCGGCTTTCGTTGGCTGCGCAAGTGCTCCTCTGAAGGGACGGGGGATGGGCGTTCTGTACGTGGAGACAGGGTAAGAAGTGGAAGGCTGAGGAAAGACTGTGCCAGTGTCTGATCGAGTGAAGACCACAGGAGCAGATGTGAGGCGGAGAGAGTCTGAAAGCTGAGCAGAGGTCGCCATGCTGATTTGAAAGAGGAAACCAGCAAATCCAAAGGTTCAGGTAAACCTGTACTGGCGCTCTTACTAGAAAAAGAGGCGACTTAGAAGCACTGGGCTTTGGCTGCAATTCACGTTTGCCCTCAAAGAGATCTAAAACTCTGATGCAATTCTGGATCAGTAGTGCCGAAGTGAGCCAAAGCTGCAGACTTGAGCAAGCTGACCCGCCTCTCTTCGCAGTTGCCTGAATACCTGCTTAATTGTGACCCTGTGCACCACTGCCACTGGCTTTTCCAGCTCCAGCTTCTTCTTGCGGGCCCAGGCTGGAATTGGCAGAGAGCCCCTGCCCCAGCATTGCTCAAGCCTGGAGCATCCTGCGGATTGCCCCATGAACTGCCACGACTGTCCACGTGGTAGTCTGATGCAACTCGAGGCGTCGATCCGTGACTTCGACGGTGAAAAAGCTGTCCTTTCACAAAAGTGAAAGGCCGAGGGGCGAGACAGTCTGCGGCAATCCTAGCTGGCCGGGAATGCAAGTTGACCATTACCATCTCGTCCGATCGGGCGGAAAAGTGGGTTACATGATGGGTTTGAATGGACTGAATGGCCCCCCCCGGGCAGCTCAGCAGTTGAATAACGATAACCAGGTAGAAAAACCGAAACGTTTCTGAAACATCTCTCTACTAGTTCGTCAGAAAAGGGAAACCCTATAGAACCCTAAACTATGAACACCATGCGGCCTGCGCGGCCGCCTGCACTGCGGCCGCCCAGCTCTTCTGCTAAGTTCAATTTCAACTTCGAGAGGGGGGACAAGGAGAATGATTCTTTTGGCGACCCTGAGCCCGGGGGCTGTTGGAAGGTGCCTTTAGTGACCTGGGATTGACTTCATCCGGGAGATGTGGATTTCATGTGTCAAAGCTTAGAGCAGGATGGTAGGATAATCTACGTAACACACTCCAAGATGCAATACCCCAGTAGGTCCTCTCCGAGTCCAACATGATTCGCAGCAGCACGAACCCGAAGCCTGACCCGAATCGATGAGGGCCGATGAGGAAATACGCACCGTCCGATGATTGGCATTCATACATCGGATGGTTGAAGACTTGCTTTCTACACACGTGGAGTTCTGGTCAAGCTGCAGACGTCAGATGAGGCACCTTCCAACAGCCCCCGGGCTCAGGGTCCCGAAAAGAACCATTCTCCTTGTCCGCCCTCTTCAAGTTGAAGTTCAACGAAGTTGAGGAGTCTGAAGACTGAACTACCTAACGATGTTGGGATGATGCACGAAACAGAACGACGCCTGGGAACCGCCAGAGCTTCGTGCATGACGAATTAGCACAAATGGGGTCGGGATCTTGGGGGAGGGAGGGCGCCTATAGGGCTGTGAATGCTGTCAAATGTGGTGCCGGCAACAACAAGGTTTGGGGCGTTTCTTTCAACCAGCTGGACTATGGGTACCGCAATTGGGCCGCAGCGGTCGCAGGAAACCTGGTGAGTCTTCTCTTGGTTTATAATTCAGTATCTTGAAGACAATGCGAATGCAATCTGATCCCTTCTTGTCGTACTTTCAGTGCTTAGTTTGACAACATATTGAACTCCCATTTCTTTAGCTTTCTTTGAGCATTCAGCTGGAAGAATAATCTAGCGGCTTTGTGATGGGGAAGAAGATAAAGGCGAGGTTCCTGGTGCTCTTTGTCTGCACCACCATTTATTAGACGCAGAGCTAGGGTTTCATCATGAGGTGAGTTCCCTGTGATCATGCTTGAATTGACATGAAAGGTCACACCACCAGTGGACTTGTTGGCCCTCCATGCATGGTAAACCCTCTCTACCGGCAAGCCTTCTCTGAAGAGTGTGGAGTACTGTGACCGGCACTTTACTTATTGGTTGTGGTGATGCGGCGAAGTGTTTATTATGACATTTTCTTGTGTCTTGTTGCTTTCATGCTTGTCGCATTGATGCAGTACTGTCAAGCAATCCAGCCCTTGCCACCACCAAGAAAGGTGGAGTTCATGTTGTTGGTCGAGTCAGCTCTCAGCTTTACGCATGCTCTGAGCTGTTTAATAACAGCTCTGATTCATGAAAAGGATGTAGGTACTCACTCTTAAAACTTGGTTGACAATTCAAATGTAAGGTCACTTTTCTTGTCAATCTGCTTCAAAACCGAATTTTTTGTCCAATTCAGGACTTTGGAAAGAGAGGTCCTGCTATCAGTAGACTTGGTCACCTTCTCAGAAAGCAAAGATTCTCCATCAATCCGCAATGAATCCGGATTGTAAGAACGAAAGTTCCATCTGCTTTCTCCACCCATACTGCATTGAGAGATTCATCAGTTCCGAGCCTGGTATGATGGATGTCGATCTTTAAGCCCCAGGTTAGGAACTTCTTCTGACTTAAGCAAAACCAGACTGTTGGCAACTCTTGCTGGCCAATGTGACGTAGTACAAACTCATACACTTTCTCTGTCTTCTGCAGATAATCGTCCTCGACGTCCTTGAAGACACACAGATCGCTGTCCTGGACATCTACCGGGATGATGACGTATCCTCATTTGTCCCGCTTGTCTGATGCAACTGATGGTCTGGCTACTGAGCGTTTAGGTGGACAGTTCAGCTTGGTCCGAATGGGGTATGCTCTGTGGTAAAGCACCCCTTTCATCTGCTAGGACTCCTTTCATCTGGCTCAGTGTTGAACCTTCCTCAGTGCAAAAAGGATACGTCAGCAGTAGGAAAAATCGCTGTATGTGTGGCCTACACGATTTAAGGCCGCAGTTTGAGAGTACCAGGTCGTTAGGTCCAATAAATACGAGTCTTGTCTATGTTAGCTTTTGTACTTCTGTTTGTTGGAAGCGGGAATTTGAAGCCTTTTGGTTGCCACTTTCCTGTAAGTTGCGCGTTCTTCATGGATACGAAGTTTGGAGACCCTCCCTATCGCGATAGAGAGGGCTGTCCTTGACCACAACTCTGCCAGAAAGACGAGGAGTTCTTCTGCGTCTGCTGGGCAAGCAATGAGGATGGGGAGCCTCTGGTGTGCGCTGCCGGCGCAAATGGGGTTATTCGTGTCGTCAACGTGTTGAGTGGGGATGTCTACAAGGTATGCCACTGCTGTCCACTTTCAACTTCGGCTCGAACCTCTGTTTGAAGCCATGTCAAAAAGGCAGTAGAGCGAGCGCGAGCACGGTTTGCCAGCCCTAGACCAAGCTCTGCTCGTTGCTGGTAAGAGTCAGAGAAGCTGCAGGTGGACTGAAGAGGAACGGCAATATTCGTTGGAGGAACCACATGACGTTCGACAGAAGCCTTGCCTTTTTAATTCAACTGCACAGTTACACAGGCTCCGGATTGTCATTGATTGCAACTTTGGACAGGTTGATTCTGAGGTCGTTTTCACGGGGCTTGGAAAAGTTCGTGGATCCTCACAGAGCGCCTTTACTCGGCATGTAAATAAATCCGGAGTTTCAGGCCCTTGGCAAGTGAGGAGACCGAAGGGCTCATCTGATCTAGATGCTTCGTGCTGCCAGTCCTTGCCATTTTTTCTGCACGGATACCTGACGCCATCTGACCAAGCAAGAATCAATGTTGCGGACGAAACACTCATTTTTCTGTGATGTACAGACGTTGGTCGGGCATGGGGGGTCGGTCAACGACCTGAGAGTACACCCCCGGAACCGCTTTTGGCTGCTCTCAGGTGCGAAGGTACGCTGCCCCTCTGATCTCAGCCTGTGCTAATGTCTGCAACCTTTCTAGGAAGCGAACTGAAACAAGGTTCGACAGAATCGAGAGCCAACAATACCCAGAAGCTGGACAAGGGCACCGTTCGAGAAGCTGAAGAAAGCAGTAGATCCACTCATCTCGGCTTATCGGTGGAATTGACATTCCCTGCGGTCCAATCAGAGCGAACCGACTCTGTTCTGCTTCGATGTTTCGACTCGGCGAACGGAAACTTCGATCGGCCGCCAATTGAGAGCTAGTATCTCTTTGCTACCCAAGCCGTTCTGTCTTTGTGTCAAAACCCTTTTTCTGCCGCCATAAGGCCGACGTTCGTGATTGGAAAGCCCCGTTGTCCACAACACACCTTTCTCCTGTGCTGGACCTCAAGAAGCTGGCGACCTTTGGAAATGGTCAACCGCAAACCTTAATGACTTGGTTTGTGCGCAGGACGAGTCGGTCCGCATGTGGAACCTCAAGTCAGGCGTCATGATTGCCATCTTCGGTGGAGACGAGGGCCACCGCGGCGACGTTCTCAGCGTGGTGCGTACATCCCGATTGCTGAGCCTCTGGTTTGCCCAACCTCTGTCCTCGCAAATTCTGTCTCATTATTTGACTCCGCATGTGGGGAACGCTTGACATGTTACGTTGAATTTGTGACGAAGCTGAGAGTCCAAGGGCTGCGTAGATATGAGCGAGCCCCGTAGCTTGAGCTGGACTCTCCCCTTCTCAGAATCTGCAGAACATTCTGTTCAGCTTCGGCTCTGATAGTAGAACCATGAAGGATGATATCTGGGTGCCCCTCCTTGCTCTCTACAAGCTTTCTCCCGATGGGAGCTCGAAGAAGTGTTTCACAATCAACAAACCAGAAAAGTACCCGTGGTTTATCTCCAAAAGATACTTACCCCCCTGTTTTCTGATCCAGGACTTCCATGTGAAGTTGCCGGAGCACGATCCCCAGACCGGCGAGGAGCTGCCCGTAAGGCCTATCATCGTTTCCTGCGGAATGGATAAGACCGTGCGCATTTGGCAGTTCCCAGGTACGCTCAGCCTGGAATAATCTGGTCCTTCTCTCTTTGGTTCTTTTCAAAGGCTTCTATGCTTGCGTTCTCGATCGTAGTTGGAACGTAGATCATCCGAGAAGATATGTCCGTGTTACGCTTGATCGAGTCGGTGTCAGCTTTGACACTGGAGAAGGGAGCCAGAGATGCCAGTGCGAGAGGGCACGTGTAAAGTTCAACAAACGGAATAAGCAGGTTTGTCTCTGGACGGACAGTGAGATATATGTCGCTCAAAGCGAGTCAGCGATGCCGCTACGTGAGGATCCGTCCAGAAAGGGACACTGGCGAAGGAGAGGAAGGTACTTGAAATGCTTCGCTAAGAGAACAATCAAGGAACGACTTCTTGCCGTTTGCGAGGCCTTTACCTCAGCTTGCAGAAGAATGTTTCATTAAGATCGTTCTTGCACGCCAACAAGACTGATGCTGGTCTTCGATGCTGGTAATCAAACGCAAACCGCCACAAACCAGGCCCAGTCACCAGTATTGCGCTCGCAAGTGCAATACCCGTTTTCGTCCCCCACAGAGCACCTTTTGCCCCGGGTACACGAGGCGCAGGACTGGCACCTGTCCCCCTCCAAGTTCAAAACGATCAACGTCAAATACACGGTGCGTGACGTTACCTACATGCAGAAGTGAAGGCTTGCACGTTATAAGGCGCCGAATGTCTTTTTTCGGTCCAGGCCACTCAAAGTCGTCTCTCAGAGACTAGGCTGCGGCCTTTGTTCAAGATGCTCACTGTCGACCGTCATTGACGATGAGTATCTGCGTCCGAGGTTGGAAAGCTCATTCTGGATTTTCTAGAGGAAGACTACACCCCTCAAAGTGACAAAATGTGTGGACGAGGTTCGACAGTATTTTGAGGGTGCGGGTTTTTACCCCTTCCAATATTGATCGGTCGCTCAAAAGCATCTTATTGTCGACCGCAGGGAGCATCCCTGTTGCCCCCGCGCGGATGCCGGACCATGCTTCAAACTGGCCGGCTTCATAGCAGCCCGCAGTCAAGTCATCAGCTCGTACGTTCCAGTTGACCGTGCTTCATACTAGCCAGCTTCATAGCAACCTGCAGTCAAGTCAGCAGCTCGTACGTGCCGAATGCCCTTCCAACGGCCTGCAGTACTTTTCTTGAATGAAGAGACTGTGAAGTCGCTCAAAGATTATTATTCGTAAGGTGATCAAGGACAAGGCTTCCAGTTAATTCAATAAGCAACGACTTTCCTCCGTCAAATCGACTCTGTAGATTGCGTCCGGTAGGCGGGCACCCTCCGCAAGGCGGGCATACTGAAGGCGAACGCTCTTGATGCGAGAATAGAGACAAGACGAAGTAGTATCTTTGATGCAGGTCAGGCAGGAGCGCACGCTTCATACTGAGTTTGTAACTTGGTGGGAAAATTGGTGAGGAGCAAGGCGGACAAGTTCTAGAGAGATTGAAAACGGACTTCATAATCGAGATCGGTAGCAGAAAGAACAGTGTCTTTTCTTCTGTGCAGGTCAGCAAGGAGCGCACTTCAAACCGAGTTTGTCGACTGCGTCCGATGGGTGGGCAATCTGGTGCTTAGCAAGTCGCACGAGTAGCAAAGGAAGCGAAGGGGAGTACCACCCTGATACCAGAGAATGAAACTAAAAGACCCTTTTTCTGTTGTGCAGGTCAGCAAGGAGAGCAAGCTTCACACTTGAGTTTTTGAACTGCATCGATGGATGGGCAATCTGGTGATCAGCAAGTCGCACGAGTAGCAAAGGAATCGAAGGAGAGTACCAACCTGAGACCAGAAAATGAAATAAAGAGAGTCGTTTCTCTGTGCAGGTCAGCAAGGAGCGCACGCTTCACACCGAGTTCGTAGACTGCGTCCGATGGGTAGGGAACCTTGTGATGAGCAAAGCGGGCAACGGCGACGAAGAAACCGCCCGCCAGGAGAGGTCCACGCTGCCACCCAACAAGATTCTGCTGTGGGACCCGCTGGAGCTGGAGGAGGCGGACACCCTCGGCTCGCGGCCGCGAGAGGTGAGCACGGTCGGAAATTCACTGTAGTTTCTTTTTCCGGTTTGAATCTTTTGTGTCCTACGTCTAATTTGGGCACCGAACAAAAGTTTGCTGTGGGACCCGTTGGAGCTGGAGGAGGCGGACACTCTTGGGTCGCAGCTGTGAGAGGTGAGGCACGGTCAGCATATTGTACAGTAGTTTTCTGTCTGGTGGAACCCTCCTGTCTCCAAATGTCCACTTCTTGCACCGACAAGTTTTTGTTGTGGGACCCACTTGGAGCTGGAGGAGGGGAATACCCTCGATTCGCAGCCGCGAGAGATGAGCGCGGTCATCAGACTCTACACTATTTTCTTTTGTTCAATACCCCCTTTTGCTTATGTTTACTTCCGGCACCGAACGTAATTCTGCTATGGGGTCTGCTGGCCGGACACCCTCGGCTGCGGCCGCGAGAGGCGGGCACCTTCCTTGGTCCGATCACAACAACTTGTCCTCGCACATCCGAGATTTGCACCTGGCACCCTACAAGCTTATGCTTTGGAACGCGCTAGAGCTGAAGGGGCCAGATCTTTTGACCTCTTAGAGGTGGGAAACCTCTTACCTTTCTCTCGCAGGAGTGGATCTGAAAGAAAACCCGAGATTGTGATATGAGATTCAAGTTTCACTGTGAAAGCCAATAAAGCTGACGGAACCTTCTATACCATCCTTGAGCAGCAGCAGGTGAACGTGTTCTTTGGTCCTTAAAAGTCGTCGACACTCTGGAAGGGCTTCAACTTATAGAGCGCAGTTATCAACCTCCAAACCATTGCCTTTGACGTCACACTTTCATATTCCACTTTCTCTGTTTGTCTTGCGCAGGATTCAGAGAGTAAGAACCCGTTCGACTCAGCAGAAATCAAGGTGAGCTTTGACTACCTAATCTCTTGTATACGCAACAAGCGATCTGAAGTCGTTACGTTTCTAGCCGCCGCCTCCAGCCTCCACCCTCCTCCTAGCGTTGGGCTAACTCGGAAAGCGCCGTCCGATTGGATTGAAAAGATTCTTTCATGGAAAAGTAACCAGGCCATTCACCTTGAAGCCGTCAGACTGCACTTCGCGGTCTTCTCAAGGAGCTAGGATTCTCGTGACTGTACTGTTTCACGGCACGCGTGCTGTCACTGCGCATGTTGCTAGCTGCCCGGATTCCAGTCCCGTGTTGATCCGCAATCAGCGGAATAGCTCCGGTTCCAGCTCGGGTTCCAGCTTGATATTATTGGATTGATAAACGGAAAAACTTGCTGAGCACCGATTTTTTTTAGCTGTCCCTCTCTGTGCGGCTTAAATCTCAGGGTTGTAAACTTCTGGTTACCATCAAGAGTCCTCGAGTGATCGAAACATGCGTAAAAATATCTTACACAAGAAACTGCTACCAGTGGGTTTATTTCGCGTACTTGCTTTGCAGCGCAAGACGAATGTGATCAGCGAGTACGAGATCCCCCGCAGCCACCACTGGTTCAACAAGTTCTCCACCGACTTCTGCCAAAGGCTCGTTGCATGCGGTACGGCCCCTTCGCTTTTCTTGGCCTCTGCTCGTACGCTTTGTTACCGCGTTCGTTTTCAAAGGAACACGTAACAATCCTGTTTTCCTTGTACCTGTAGACCCCGTGTCATTCCTTTCCTTACTTGGCAGCGTCACATAGAACCTTATTTTGCCACACACTTTACTGTCGCTTATATTTCTGAGCATGCACTTCAAACGCGTTGTCTTCCTGCCATTCCAATCGATCGCTGATCTTTTCCGAGCCGCTGAGTCTTGTCGCCTGTCCTTACTGCTTCGACCCATTCTTTCGTCCACACATCCCTCCCAAATTGCTTACGCAATGCCCATTCTGTTTCAGTGATCTCTTTGTGGTCATGATCAAGCTCAGGCCTGCGTGTTGTCGCACAATCACCAGCAGGTGGGCGTGAAGCCACCGAAGCAACGTTTGGAAATGCCTCTTATACCTCCTTGGGTGGTTGTATCTTTCCGAAGTTTGTGATCGGTGACGGTATTGATAATACTTTTGAGTCTTTTAAAGGTATTTAAACCTCTTTTTCCGAAGCTTCGCAAGTGCGCACCCTTGGTCTAGTGGAGTCGGCTTCCCTCCGAGCTCTTATAACCTTGAGCTTTGCCGCGGAGGAGTCCTCCTCCGGTGCACGAACCCTCACACTCCGTGTCGTGCTTCGAAGCTGGGAAGTCTCATCAATTGCACAATATGCTTTTATCCGGAGGACTTCAATACAACACCGTGTTTTCGTCGTTACATGCATTCCAGGGCTTTGATGTGCCTCCTCTCTTCGTGGCGAATATCCTGTCGGTGCTGTTCCAAGTCTTTACTGTATCTGCTGTAGCCATGTGACGGACAGATAACGTGCGTTGCGATGTGAAAGGCAGCCCAGTGAGAGTTAGTTTTGCCGGAAATTATGTCTTTAACTCGCTGAAATCCTAGTAGCTTCTCGCTGCGCAAACTGGTCAAGCGTTGTACGGTTGTAGGTTGTTATTTTTTCTTCCTACTATGCAGAGTTCTTGGCAGCTTGTTAATTCCTACCTCCTCCAAAAGCACTTCGGAGTCACGCTGGGTACTGCTTGTCTTTGGCAATGATTGAGGCCAAAACTGCGGATCAATTGCATTCCACGGAGCGCATGCTTTGGCAACGAAGCCATTGGAAATTCGATAAAATTAGAAAGAGAAAAGTCATTCGTTGCTGCTGTGCCACTCGTTTTGCCACCTTGTACATGTTTGTCGTTTTAGCCTAGACGGCAAAGGCGGATAGTATTTGGGCGGCCTACCGCTCAACACTTGTTTCCTTCCATTCCTGATGCCCGAAGTTAGACTCCAAGGCGTTGGTTATGGAAAACTGTCCGCCTTGAAGGGATTACGATACGTTGATTCAACCGAGTCCATTTCATTCCATTTGCCAGTCATCAAAGCCCGCCCAAAGGTTCATGCCTTGTGGTCCCGAAGGTGTCCTCATGTGGTGAAGTCTGTCCCGTGTGGCAGAGATCGGTGTGTGTTACTGTGGGTTCGCATCTGAGTCGTTGTTCAGCCTTGTTGTGATTGTTTCGCCTCGTCTTTCTCTCCTTACTTATGCGTTCTCTTGCTTGTTGCTTGAATCGTTTTCTGTAAAAGGAGAACGCCGAAAGAAAACCCTCTTGCATTTGAAGCTTCTAAACGACCGTAAAATCTTCATTTTGATGCACCTCCGGTTTCCAACGCTCCTGGCCTTTTTCTTAGTCTTGGCGTTTTTCCTGGTCTTTTTTGTGCCGGATCAAGCGGTCATGATGGGACCACCTGTCGGGCTTGTGTTGCCCAGGAAATCTTGTGTCTCCGGAATACCGCTTTCTCTAGTTCAGTCTATTTTGGACCAGCTTTCCGTTGAGTGGAACAACCGTTTGGACATAACTTTTGCTTGCTCGGATGGGACATACATAGAAGCCTCGCCACTGCCCTGATTGCCAATGTATGCCATACTTTATTTACACGTCTTCCGTTCTCCGACATTGTGCAAATGTGCGGTCCTTTCAATATAGAGCCTTTGGATTTCTGAATTTCTGGAGTCCTATTCTCAGCTTTCCACCGAGCGACTTTCACAGCCAGCGTCCATGAAACGGGCAGCGCCATTGCTTTCCTTACTTTGCAAACGTGCGTAAAGGTTGCCTAGTTCGGACCTGAATAGGCCGTCCGTGATGATAGTCTGTAGCTCTTCTTTAAGCGCTTGCCTGGTTTGCGGATCGGTTTAGTCCACCGTTGCATATATCGCGCCTGTTGGACTGCCACGTAGCGAGGAAGGGACTTAGGTTTGGGAGTTCCTTTTTGCCAAGCTTTTTGAAGTAAGATAGTTCTCAAGCTGCCCCGCCTCTTGCTTGTCTAACAGCTCGAAGGCTCCATGGGTCTAGGAGTTTAGGGTTTGCCCTTTCGCATAACCTTGAAATTTTGGGACGGGACTTTGGGGCATCTCGCTACTCTTCCAACGGCCGGCTCCTCCTTCTTTCCAGTGCCGGACTGACTTACCTGCTCCTGTTTATGGCTAATGACGGAAATCGTGCTCACAAAGTCTACCACAACCTTTAGGAGCCACACTCAAACCTGACTGTTCCTGGTCAAAGGTGTTGATTAAAGATCGTCCGCGTCCCATCTGTCTACACCTTCTTCGCCTTTCCGTTCCCCTTGTCCAGTTTCTGCCCTAACTGTAACAAGTTGGTAACCCGTCGCTGGTGCTGATATTCCCCTCGGCACATGGGCACTTTCTGTTTATTTGTAGTGTTCATGAAAATCATGCGGCCACAACTCGTCACTTTCTCGTGTTGCTTTAGCGTTCCCTAATATATTCCTCCACAACCGTGCTTTTGAAACACTTCTTCACCACATACCTTGCAACCTTTGCTGCTCAATATCTTGGTCGACCATAGCACGTGGCAAAGATGGACGGGGAGGCTGGCCGCTTGCGGCCACAAGCTCTTGCTGCTTCGCCCGTTACTTGACGCCACCATCCCTTGTCGTTCTTTCAACACTCAGGGTCGTGTTGAAACCCGGAGTCCTCAATAGTGATGTCTAGAGACACATTTACCGGTTATGGTCGCTGATCTCTGCTCTGATGGTGTTAAGCCCCTTAAAATTTCCAGAAGTGCATTCACCGACTTCCAGTGTCAGTATCCTGGGTTCCAGTCAAATTCTACTGATTCAAATTCAGAGAACCTGTCGCTGCGGGCAAGAATGGACATTACTGGTTTCGCCAACCCCCGATCGTGCGGTTCGAACAATCGCTTTTTATGCCTTGGTCGCCTTGCACTTGACGGACATCTTGCGCTTGGCGGACGAACTCGGTGGACTGTATCAGATCCAGGAGCTTGCAAGGGGTTTTTGCCCAAAGTATACCTTTGCCGTACCTTATTATCATTGCGGAGAGGACGGCCTCTTCATCGAAGCATTATGCTGCAATGGTTTTTATGGTCGGCCGAGTCACAAGATAGCTCGGATTGGTGCCAGGCTTACACGGTGTTGGTATATCCCAAATGAGGCGAGTCTCGGATTGCTCACTCTTGGTTCGCGCATCTTCCTTGAAGCTTCTTCGCCCGGCAGTGATTACTCGCAGGATTGGGCGCTTACCAGCCACACCTCTTCATCCGTCGGAGCTACGTCCGGAAGCTGCCGTGCCATCTTCAACTGCATTTTCCCTTGTATCCCTTGTAACCCGAAAGTTTGTTGGCCTCCAAGGCTTGCATTCGAGCTTGTCCATACCTCCGTCACACCTCTCGACTTCAAATCTGAACACCTCTTAGCCCAGAAATCGCGCGCACTCAGCAAGACCCTGCGCATGGTTGCAGTGTGCGTTTTTGCGACCAATTGGTGACTGGCTTGCTGCCTTCGCGATCGCCAGTACGGCTTTTCTTGTACACTCTGTATGTGTTCGTCAGCGGTAGCAGTGAGCGTACGCCGGTTTGTCCTTTGCAGGACACGGCATGGCATGGTTTCGTGCTCCTCGCTAAGCTACCTGGCTAAGTTCTCGTCCAAAGCTTCGGATGCTTGCCGTCTCCTTCCCCAGCTGACTGCAGGCTTGGAAATTGCCGCGTGCGAAACGGCTTGCTCCGTCTTGGACACTTTCTTTGTCCTCGAGTAGCTCTTGTAGGTGGCAAGGACGCATGCCGACGTTGGCTTCTTGCGCCACACTGCTTACCCACGAAGCCAAACTTGTACATGGTCCTTATATTTTGTCTGACTGGATTCATTGGGCCTGAGTTTGAGCGCTCTAGGTGGTTAGGCTAGTCCACTGGCAAGGGTTGCATCTCGCATGGATGATTATGTACCGTGGCCTTGTAAGCTGACATGAAGAACTGCTTTGAGAAGGAGCAAGCCCGACAAGTCCATCCGCGCTCTGACGCCCACTATGTGTGCAGGTAACGACTATGGCGAAGTCTTTGTGTATGACATCCATGCGTACCCGCCGTGCCGAGTTGCAAAGTGAGTGCGTGCTTGATTGCATCTTAGGTTTGAGCCGCGGGTCCCTATAGTTCGGCCCTTGACAATCTGAGAGGTCTGATTATCGGTGGTCGAAAATTGGAGGCCTTAGGTCAACACTCCGACAGAGACTGCACAGCGGCTCAACAAAAAGCTCCCGGTATGCGCAGGCAAGGTTGCTTATGTGTGTAATGGTGGCGTGGTGATCGACGCATGTTTTGAAGTGATACGCATATCGGATATATCGGTTTCTAGCAAACGAACACATCGATCTGCGTTCAGCGGTCTAACCCAGCCTCCTCAATCACCAGAGGTTCGCCGCAGCCACCAAGTAACATTTGAATTGCAATCACTTCCGTGGACGGCTCTTGATTTCAGTGGGCTCAGCAACGTTTGAGGTGTGTCAAGCAAGATTCGGCAGAAACCAGTACAAGTACATACCAAACATGGTGTTGCCTGTGATCGTGCAGGTGTTACAACCAAAGCCGGGAAGCGCAATCGCAGTGCCGGCAAGTAGCGCTCTCTTATGACGGAAGGTGAGCCGCCGGTTTTTGTCATCCGTATCAGATTGCGTCACCTTGTTCACCTTGTTCACTACCAGAACGAAGAGACGAGGCATTGATCGATCAATCAGCCGTCGATGCGAAATGTCCCGGACTCGCCTCTACACCTTCTGAGCTCTTTACTGTTAAGAATTGGAGCAAATTGCAAAAGTCTAGATCTTGTGAAAATCAAGCTCCTGCCAGCAGTGTATGTAGGTTTGCAAGTACTTCTTTGCTTGATCCTGACACCTCATTTTACTCTCGTTATTGCACGCCAAGGTCTAATCGGGGCCTTATGCTGGCTATTCGCACGCTTCGCACGCTTCGCAATCATCGGCCTTTGGTGGAACCGATCAACTTTGTTGTCTTGTTCCACGTCCGCGTTCCAACTAAGCATACGTAGATAGACTTAACTTTGTCCAAAGCTGGTCGCCACGTACCGCGGTCAGGACCCATCGAAACTGGGGTGCGCCGTATTTGGCTGCCAACGCACGAATTACTTTTGGGCAGCATTCCTGACAAAAGCTCTTGTGCCGTTTCCGCAGCACCATCCTCTCGTGCCACGATAACGGCCAGATTTGGCGGTGGGACAAAAATGAGAGGTAGCGTTGCGGAGATTCAAGGAGCTCCCCGCTATACGCGTCTAGAAGCTTCCCGATCGAAGTAAGATAAAGCAGTATGTTCTTAGATTGTTCTTCTGAGCACGCGATCCCGCCAAATCGTGCGGCAGATTTGTCTAGGCCGGCTGAGTGAAAGCTCCTCAAGTAGTACTTGTTTAAAAAAAATCGGACTTTACCTGAAGCGGAATCAACGATTCATTTGACATCTTAACCTTTCAAAGTGCCCTCAGCACGGTATTTGCTCCATGCCTTCGACAGCTCTTTAAGACGATCTAGAACCGTCCAGGTCCTTGGAATACTTTGCCGTCATGCTTGCCTTGCCAGCACCTTTTACTACATAGCAGAGGCCCATCTAGCAAACCTCAGTTCCATTTTCTTTCTGCTCTGAGTCGTACCTTCCGCGAGTACTTACTGCCGATTCGCCAGAGGCGGGAACAGCGGCAAAGACGCACTGGCAGCTGTTGGGCTCGGGCACCCCCCAACGTCCCGCACAAACCACCGAGCCTCGAACTACCTCGTGTTTCACCACGTGTTCTTTCGTGTGCTCGTCATATCTGGCCCATACCGTACGTTTCTATAACAAAGCCTTCATGCCATTGGGTACAACAGAACGCTTCGAGAATCTTGCCCTCGGCGTTTAGACTGCCCTCCCAATGCTCGGAACGGCAGTCCACGCACATCAATAGAATGGTCATTTCTGTTGGCGTAACCTGACCCAAAGCGGCCTTTCAACGACGTAACAATTACTTGCTGCTGTTTCCAACTCTCGTACTCTCCGCAGCGGCGTATGTACTCAGTCCCGGGCGCTGGGCTGTTTGGTTTCTGCTGTTTGATTACTGTTGCAAAGCATGGCGGTATTGATTGCCACAAGTCAGTGACTTGTCCTTGTCTGGCGGACTGGATTGCAGGAAAGATTGTCAGAGGTAGCTTCAAATTGCAAGGAATATCTCATGTCGTTCTGTTGTGTAGAGCCTTGATTTCAGCAGCTGTTTTCTGTTCTTGGGCAAGCAGTCCTAACAGCAGGTGTGGAAGCATTATCTTCCCTTTGTGCTGTGTACAAGAAGTCCACTGGACTCCTTGTCCGTCGTTCTCCACTGTGTCCGTCCCTCATCTCTCGGTGAAGCCTATACCTTCATCTCGATGGACACGGCCAAGCATTGTTTCTGTTGTTTTTCGCAAAACGTCGGCTGTTGTTTGTTCAGTCGAAGCCTCCACTAAGCATCGAATTCGATATAGCCGCGTCTTTAGGGCTGCTGACTGTCACAATTGGAATCGCTACTGTACGTCTCTTTCTTTCTTTACCTGCACGGCGTAGCAATGGCTAAGATAAATGCAAGTTGGGCATTGTTGTCGCTTGTTGCCCCTAACGAAGAGCCAAATCCTCTAAACCTTGAACTCAGATTTGGCGCCTACTCAAATAGTGTGCGGCGTCCTGGAATGTTGTCTGCGTCTTCCCTACTACTTCCAGCATCAGTATGTCCTTGTTCGTTCCTCAATGGCGCTGCAACAATGCTCCATCGCTGCCAAGGGATTCCGGGAAGGGTCCAAATTTCCGCACTGACTAAAGCAACGCCTGCGAAAGCCTGGGCTCCCCTCTTCAATGTTTTCACAGTCTGTTGAACTTGTAGAACGCAACCGTTCTTCAATCTTGTGCAAGCCCCTGGTCAAATTGCAAAGTTGGCTGGTGATTTATAACAACTGAGTTCCTCTGAAAGCAATTGCGGCTCTTGATATGCCCCGCGGCAATGCAGTGGACATGAGTATGGGACAAAGCTTCTCCCACGCGGTGTCTTGCCATCCTCGACCGAAGCTGCGGCGCTTCCCAAAAGCCTAGTGACGATTTTAGTGTTCAAGCTAGTTTGCTATTCTTGTCACAGTTGAATTGGTGATTGCTCGTGCCCTAAACCAGTGTGTTATCAAAGAGCTTCGTTGCACACGTGCGGCGAAAGCCGGCGCGACTACTCGCACGATTGGTCCCACATCACTGCTCCGCTGTACTTTCCTGGCATAAGTTCAAAGGTCGCCCGCGAAGAATGTGCACGTACTCAGCCAGGTGATTTAGGATGGCTTCGTTTGATTACGTAATTACATTCGTGATCACTTGGTACATCATTTCGTCAGAAAGGAAGTGAGCAACGGTGTCCATGGGGCAAAGACGAGAGGGTGGAGATGTGCGTAACATCTGCTTAATTGACGCAAAACCTTTCTTGCTGCAGAATTGGTGCGTCGCTTGACTTGGGAGTATCTCAAGCAGCTTCCTGCTAGTGCCAATATAAAGCTGGCGGACTTGTGCGACTCGCACGTCTTGTCGGTCGATCTTGTGCTGGAGGCCGTCTGACTGTTCGCAGTCTGACAAGTACTGCGATTCGAAGGCTTCGCTGCTCGTAGACGGTTCTTGTGCCTAGTGGCGGTCGACCATGTGTTTCCCGGACGAAGATAGTAAATTCGGCAGACTTCAAAAACCTTCAACACATTTGGCTGTTCCTTGCAATCTGGCGATGATACAGAACATCGATCTGGCTCTGCGCCAGGCGTGGTCCTGTGGGTCTTGGAAGCCACCGTTCCTTTCCACGTACTTAAGGCTGAGTTCTCTCAAACAAACGTCAACATTGACGACGAGTACTATGTCTGTTTGTTAGAAATGGGAGTTTTGTGGTTGCCCGTCTGATTGCCCGGCCGGCCCCTCCTTGCCCCTTGGGCGTGATCTTGTATTGGGCTTCTCATACCTCTCCTCAAACGAGGCAGTTTCCTCACGACTCATTTTGGCCGGATATATGTGCCTTGTCACTAGCTTGTGCACCGTCGTGCCTACGTCGATATCGTCTCGGGCCTCGTCAAGTTGAGGCAGATGCTTGTAAAGTTTTTGGCTCGGTTGCGCTGGCCCCTCCGAATCGGTTCTAAGTCCGGTGGTTTTGACTGGACCTCGGCCGGGAAGGTTGCTTCAGAAAGGAAGCGAGCCTTTTGGATCCTTTGTTGCAGGAGACGTCTGAATTGTTTGGTGAAACTTTCTTGCCACTCTGGAAGCTTCGACGTCATGATTATTTAGCGTGCCAACAATATCTTGGAACCTTGCACTCCATGCATTGTTACTGTCCTTTCTTGTGTCAAAAAAATTGCATGCTATAAAATCCAGATCTCCCTTTTGCCTCCGTTCAGTGGTTGCTTGTGGTGGCCGCGCGCGCCGCTCATCTACCCCTTCCCCAGCTGAACATCCCATATTGTGTGGCAATGACGAAAGTTGTGGGCGCCTCTGTGTGCCCACCAGTACTTTCTGTTTGGGAAGCCAGAGTATAGCGGATATCGTATCTCTACGGCTGGCTTTCCAGCTTGCTTTCAAGCTTGCTGCGACACGTCTCTAATTTCGATTCACCTGCTGCAAACCCGTTGGAGCGCACAAGTGGAAATTTTGATGTCAAATCCTGGTGGCGATTGGATAGTTCGCGGTGGAATCAGGCGCTTGATTGCTGCTTTAACCCGGTTTGTACCGCGGCAAAGTGCTATTGGTCTGGTGATGACCGGGATTCGTGTTTGGGTTTCTTCTTGCCCAGCATAGGATGTGGGAGAAGCCACGCTTAATGCAAGGTTCGGTTTGGGGGCTTTGTTTGTTGTTGTACGTCTTCACCCGTTCCCATCCCCTCACCCATGTCTACCACTGATTGAGCTGCAATAGAAGCTTTGCTGAAATCGGCGAGCTTGCTCTAGTTTCCATTTATCAAAGATTAATGGGCGTTGGCGGCTTGCGGTTCCAATAGTTGTTTTGTACGGGTCCGTGGCACTGATGCCTTCGGTGTTGACTCGCTTTTGAGGCTTTAACGCGTCATAAAACATTCCTTGGCCTTACAGTGCTCCAGTTGTCCGGCGCTCTCACGGTGTTCAGGATACCATTGGGCAGTCAACCACTCCGGTCATTGTCGTAACTCTATTCATTACTGTTATTTCCACTTCTACTGTGGTTTTAAAGCTCGTCAGGCTCGTCAGGCTCGCAAGCCTTGTGTGTCCCCACCTTTTGCTTGCACACTGGACGAAGCTGCTAAGTCTTGGTTTTGTCTTACTGTTTTGACAGGCCTCCCTAGTATTGGGCCTCCTTTTTGCCTCTTCATTGGGTGGATACCTTATCACGGCAAGGATGAAAGCCTGTGGGTGAGTTTGTTAGCGCAGGTACTGTGCGGGAATATCCTGCGATGCCGTTCTCTTTTGTGCCCTTGAATATGGACTCCAGCGATGACGGTAGACTCTTGTACCATGGTTATGCTCTACGATAAGCGAAAGCGCGAGGAAGGACCGCTTACCTGAACTTTCTGCCCGATTGCCCCTGCTTGTGACATGAACGGGCAGGAAATTGCCGTTTACTTTGCGTGACCCGGACCAACGTCCCGACTTCTCGTAACGGCGGATCATTCGCTGCTGCGCGGTTTCACGGGCTATGTAATGCTCTGCATCAGCGCGTGCGTTCAGTTTTGGCGGCTGAGCCGTTCCTTCTCTATGTGAAGCGTGGCGGTGATTTATAGGTACAGGAATTTCGTACTTATAAGTACTAGAGACTTTGAAGAAGTACGATGCAGAGAAAGATCGTCGGGGTAATTGGGAACTGGGCCGTTTGAGACCGTTCTCTTATTGAAAACCTTGAGCTCCGCAAATCCGTCAAGTTCTGTGGAAAGCTTTGGAATTTCGAAATCGGACGTTTATCTTCCCCTTTCTGCTCTGTACGGATTCATTCCTAGTTTTCCGGCACAGTGTCTGTGATTCGAGCTTTTACTTAACAAAACTGCGCCCTCCATTTGAAGGTGGAACCAAGTGATTCGATTATCCTCTTTTCATCCTCATGATGCCGTTGGTCGAGCCAAAAAATTCTTCCGACGGGTGGATTTTCGTGGCTGGGAGCTGAAAGTTCGGGCCTGTCAGCCGTCAAAAGCGCGGTGTCTTCCTCTCCGAAGTGGTATACTTCGTCAAGCGCAGGGCCGCTCAAGCTGCGGCTATCATTTGGGCACCTAAGCGTCGAGCCAGTCACTTTCCTGCAGAGCTAAGGCCGCATCGCATTAGCAAACCTGTAGTAGGGTCCTGTAGTCCGCCCAGTTTATGGACTTTCGACACCGTTACGCGTCTCCTCGTTTCTATGCAAGGGACGTACCAGAGCGCAAAGCAGGCCGAGTCCTGCACACACCGCGTTTGTTGCTCGTCTTTTGCCCTCGAAGCTGGTGAATGTTGCGCCGTCCCACGGAACTGTGCGTCTGAGACTTTACTGCTCGTAGTAGTCAGATCATACTATGCCTAGTGTGAACGCCACCATGTGCATCTTGGACGAGGCAACCTCAGACTCACAAAGAAGTTTCATTCAATCTGACAGTTTCCGGCCCTTTGTGA